TGGATTTTCCCTCCAGATACTTCTGCTCTTCCTCATCTGCTGGCTTCCGCTCGTCAGTCTGCTCTGCTTCACTCCTGGAACTCTCTGGGCGGTACACGCTGCATGCTTTGAAGAAATCTTCCGGCTGGATTCCACTCCTCCCTCTGGGCTTGGACTGAACCTAGAAAACCAGGTTAGTGACTCAAAAGCTCTCTATAGTTCCCTGTCAGAGTTGCGTGGTCACTAACCTGAGTTTCTACCTCTACAGGGATATCCAGCCATCCATTCCCAGCTGATGAGCTGCTGATTATTGAGAAAATAATAAAAATACATTCCGAGTCCTGACAAAGAACCTTTAATCAAAAGCTAACATCAGCATCCTTGAACAGCTTGCAGCACTGTCTTCCTACAGTATGATTGAAAGCTTATATTTTTCTACCAGCTGTGCAGCATAAAGATGTTTAAAGTCATCCAAGGATGCAAACAATTCTTCTCAAATCACTCATGCCAACCCTAAACAATACAGCACCCTGGGTGGTATGCCATTTTGCCCATATCAAAAACCACCGCTGCAAATCCCTTCAGTATATATGATATGCAGGTCCAAATCTATTCAGCTAGAAAATCATTGTGCAGATGAGAAAAGTGCAGCCAAGAATTGCTTATGCATATAGATTCTGTCAAAGCAGTTCTAAATAAATCTGTTTTAAAATGCCATAATCAGTATTTAAACCAGTGCATGCACAGAGCAGTTATTTTCTCTGAGAGATCCTGCAACTTTAGATAGGATGATAACTAGCATATAGACACAAAACATTTAGTCACTCACCGAATCACATAGCAGCACTACATTTTTGAAATGACTCAACTGTTTTTCAACTCCAAAGAAAAAATGAGTAAGCCTGTGCTACTCATCTGTGCCAATCCATGATCAATTTTAACAGTTGTTTGGAGCATATTGCCTCAAAATCTAAGACAATGAGGCACCGTTGGCTTAGGAGCTTATTACTGGGCTTAACCTACTCTGTGCTTCTGCACTGCTTGAGGTTGACCCAATTCCCAGGAATGGAGCCACCAACTGTCTTTGGGTTATAGACCACCTGGATGCCAAAACCTCCTGAAGATGAAAGAGTAAAAGTTATATAGTCATTGAAAATCTGTTTTAACTGACTGATTATAAAGATAAATAACCAATAACTGCTTAAGATGTACTGAAAACAAGAGTCATATTTCAGATTGCTTAGATATGCTTTCCCTACGTTTGTACTTTATGGTTTTAAATAACAACATTGAGGTGAAGACATATAAAATGTTATTAAATACATTGGATTTTCATTTAAAGGAGGAGATCTCTGGTTTGATACCCTTTATTCTAAACAAAACTGAAAGCAAACAGCTACAGTAGGTCTTCTGTGTATATTTATAAGGAAAGGCTCCTGAAATGCCTCATCAAAGAGGGTAACCTTATTCATGCTGGTTCTGTGCAGCAGTAGTTGGTGTCAAGAGAGTGTATTAGTTGGGAGTATTAGTGAGACCTCGGGATCCCTGGGCTGCTCCTTCTGCTCTCTCCATATGACCCTGCTAATCCCTCAGCCTGTTGTCTGGGACACACACAGAGGCCTGACTCATAGTAACAGCAAAGATGTGCACCTAAACTACTGTTATGCTTTATTTACAAAGGTGTTTTGTTCATTTAGATTTATTTTATCCATAAAAATCAATAACTACAAACTCCTGAAGCTTTGAACATACACTGCTGGTGGGTGTTTTGGAAGAACTCCTGGAGTGGCTGATGAAAACCGGGGTTGTAGGTCAGGATTGATCCAATCGATCTGCTAAACAAAGATCAGAAGATAAAATAATACCAGTCAATCTCTAAAAGGTTGAACAGGGTTGAAAAAGGGAATCCCACAGCTTCCAGTCCAAATACAAGCCAGCTAGTAGAGCAACGTCTTTTTTTTTTTAGATATTTGACAATAGATTATGCTTGTATGTCTTGAATAGGAAGTGCTGGATCAGAAAGTCAGTCTGGTTATGGTTTAGTTATTGCGTGGAAGAGGATTTGGTATGGTTTGTGATTTCTTAGCAGAACATAAAACGATCCCATAATGATTGAACATTATTGATCTCACATTGGAGAAACTCCCACACCAGGGATTTTCTTTCTTTTCTTCTAATGTTTATTTTTAAATCTTTAATTTGTTTCATTTTGGAGGGCATCCAAAATAAAAATGGAAAGGTGAATTGTATCCTTTTTGCTGTAAAACCTTCTTAAATTTACACTGGAGAGATAAATAGAGCAAGGTTTTCACCATTTTATTAACTTAATATTTTTAGACACAACTTCAGCAACACGAGTCAACATCAACTCACTAATATATATGTGATATCATTAGCAGAGCCTTTTTCCAGCCTCCATGCCTATCAGGGATGTTTATCTTAATCAAAAAATGCAGAAACTTAACTCTCTTTTGTCTCATTTTGTCTTGCAATACCCATGGAATTGAGCCAAGGATCTTCCTGCTGCAAAGTAATAGTGCTACAAAATTCCCCACTGTCCAGCTCAGGTGTGCTGAACCAGAGATACACCTAAAAGGTGCAGGACACTGGAGCTTGAGGACAGGAACTCAAGGGAACTGTCCTGGAGGAAAATTCATGCATCGTTTATTATGTTTTAAATCCTAAAACTGGTTAAAAACTTGTAAAGCTTATTTTCAGTTCCTCTTAATGCACAATCACAGCTGAAGTCATTGGTAATATGTCTCCATCAGCATTGTCCATTTAGAGATCTCAGGGTTTTCCAGCTTCTGTAGGGTGAAACCTCCACCTGTCTTAAATCCTTTTCAGATTTTTTTCCTGGACTGTTGTGTATTAATCTCCATCTATAGTCAGATCAAAACTAACCTGCTGTCCTTTTCTTGCTGAAGTAGTGCTTTCCTAAACGTTTGCTGAGTCCTCCACATGATTTAGGTAAACTACAAAGATGCTTTTTATGAGTCTGTTGGAACAACAGCTTTCTGTGTGCGAGACACCCATAAAGTCTTGATTTGTGTGCCTTGATAATATTCTTCACCTGAGCTGTGGATCTTAGCAGCTAAAGGGTTATCATGGGCCTCTTGGCTGCTTCCTCAATTAAGGATCTCCTTGTCTGTTTTGGCTGGACAGCTATATCTGGGTACATTTGTAGTTGTGCCAAGCTATTTCTACTGTAGTGTGACAGTTGCCCAGACAACAGATTTCCCCACCTGAGCTGTGGATCCAAGGAGCTACAGAGAGAATTAGCTTCTGTGATTACTGCTCTTCTCACTCGGCCTGTCAGTTTAGGAAGGCAGCCATTCTTTGGTAGGCTGTCACGCTCTTTTCAGTTTTGGATTTTGGTTTACACAGTGCTCAGTGAGATTTCCAATGCTTGGATTCCTAACTTCATGCTGTGTCCTTGGGTCATCGTGATGCTTTTTTTTCCCACAAATCCTTATATTTAGTAAAACTAAGATGGAATTATATGTGCTCTAACTAATTAGGTGAACTCTGATTTCTTTCTTTCTTTGGTGTCACATCAAATGGGTCTAATATAGAAGCAGAGGACACTTGTCAGAAATGTATTTGCAAAATATATAAAGGTTTTAATTTCACTGACACTAAATAATTCTGCACTGCTTTTGTGTAGATCAATCATGTTTAATGACTAATAAAATATATACAATTCTGGGTTTTGGTAATAAGCTAGCTAAATGGCATAAAGCTCAAGGGGTACTTCTGGGCCAGTATATCCCATAGGTTGTCACCTTCCATCAGTGTCATAAAGGCAACTTTTTTTCTGGAAAAGACCCATCATCATAAAACCATCATCATCTTATTTCGGTCACTTTCTCATCCGGTGAAACCCAATCCGGTTTTCAGTAGCATCATTTCCTCATTTTGCTCTTGCCTGTTACCATATATTGAGTCATTTTCTTCACCCTGCCTTAGCAGAGAGGTGTATCCTCTTATGCAACTGTACCGTGACTATTCCACACAGACAGACAGACAGGGTATGAAACGCTGTCCCATCACTTCTCCTGCAACACATGCACATTTAATAGACTCTGCATCTCCGCACTATGCGCTCCACCACTCTGCAAAGCTTTACTCTCGGGATTTACAGCCATAAGTCTCCTCTCTTCTTTCAAACCCTTGCACAAACACACACAAACACACGCATGCATTAATGCATACACACGTCTGGCATCGCTTACAGGAAGTCGATTGACGTACGTATGCACACACAGAGAAGGGCCTACATGATTCACAATTTCATTCTTCATGTGATGACGGCTCTCCTCCTCCAGTCACGGCACTGAAAACAAACAGCGCATCGGATGTGGATGAGGAAACGCAAACCGGTCCAGATGGAGGATTAAGGGGGAAATTTGTTGCTAAAAAAAAAAAAAAAAAAAAAGAGGCAGGTTTGTGCGTCACATCTGCGAGATATTTAATGTAAAGTAGCGCACGTCGCCATGCATCTCTCCTCTAGGCTGTAGTCAGGAAAGGGTGGCAGGAGAGGGCTTGCCGTCGGTCCGCAGATTGGTGCGCAACGCCATTACAGACCACCCTACTCTGCTTGGTTCATTCATAAATACCAGAGGATCGCCATCTCGCAGCGGTGCATCATTTGAAAGACACATCAGCCCCCACCCCCTCTCTCTTCTCAGTAATAAAAAATGATAATAAAAACCAATCAGTTTCTCCATTTCTGCCTGCTCACTGCCAATATGGCTGTGCGGACATATAGGCTGCAACGGATATAGAAACAACACGATCGAGATTTTCCAATAGAATCAGGACTCGGAATTTATGCTGACATGGGTGAGTCTAAAACAGCAGCAGTGATATGAATAAATCGGAGGAGAACAGCGGGAATCCTTGAGCGCGCAAACCTCCAGCAGCCAGGCAGAAAGCAGAGCACAGCGCGGCTATACGCCACCAAATACCAGCATCTAATCTGCGCGTAAAAGAGGCAGCAGAGGACAGCATCTCCATACCTGGTCGTGATGGATATTTAGACGCAGGCTCCGTTTCAGGCTGGTCCTCGGTTCGAAGGGGTCAGAAAACAAACGCTGAGAGAGTCTTAAAGCATTTTTACACGACTCGTGTAGAGCTCATGTCCTCCGATTCCCACTCACACACACGGTACAGCACGCACAAGCAATCTCAGTCTCTCAACCACCCCCCCCCCTCTCTCTCTCTTTTTCTCGCAGATGGGATGAGGGAGGTGCTATACCTTCTCCCTTGTCTGTGGGGCTGAAAAAGTCAGGCTAAGCATTCATTCATATCCGTTGCATATTTTTTTTTTATATATCTCCTATTTCTTACCAATGGAATTAATGCATGAATCCCAACTAGGATCCCTAGTTAAATCTGATAAGAGAATCTGTGGGGGAAGCTAAAGATTAGGGTTATGACAGGGAGGCCATTAGACATCTTAGATCATATCACCACATATTAATCTTCTAAAATTTTAGGATTAATATGTGGTGATATTTAGAGTCTAAATACTAGTGGTGTCATGCAAAAAGCTGATAAACATTTATAAAAACTGACAAGCCAAATTTAGTAACATTTCTAGATTAAATTTACCATGCAAAAACCAACAAGAAAGAACAGAGAAATAACACATCTTTAGTTTATTAAGTCAGCCACAAACCTGTAATTTCTTAAAAGTTGTTTTATTTAAGCATGGTCTGCCAAAGAAAGGAGGGTTTAGGCCCCAAAACAAGATAATTAGATGCACTTGAGAGAATATAACAGTTATTTTCCTTTTTGTTTTACAAATAAATCCTCTTATTCCATCTGCAAATTATCTTACCTTGTTTAACCAAGGTAATACACAAGTATTTAAAGAAATATGTTTTTTGCAATTTATGTTAGGTACAGGGGCCACAGCCAGTTCTACAGGGGCCCTACTGGCCCTGGTATAGAGGCGCTCATGGCCAAGGTGATGGAAATTTGATCACATTTTCATAGTCATAGGTAAAAATATACAAAAATAGGCTGTTTAAATTACAGTAGCATCTTTGTTATCTTAAATATGTTTTGAAAAGTGCTTTTTAAGTTTAACTTTTCATTTAATCATTTTACAAACGTTCAGCCGTATGTCACCTGTTTTCACATGAGAATTTCTGTTGTGTTTGGAGTAAATGCAAAAATTTCAAAATCACGTCTTTAGTCTTGTTAATGCATTCCTTAGGAAGTTGTTTTGGAATGTCTTCCCCCAGTAGTAAATATTTGGGGAACATTTGCCGATAGCTTTTCTTAGATTGATCTCTTCAGTGCTATAATTCATAGCTTTCTATAAGTTGATCTCAGAACTAATAATTGGCTGAGTGTATAAGATTTTGGATATTCTTCAACCCATGGGCAACAGTTGTTTGTTCGCTGATCATTTGGTTTCAGTTTCTGTTTGAAAGGAATCCTTTCCATCTAAATTTTAAAATGAAATGTTCTGACAAAAGTCTAGAATGACCCAGTTCAATCAGAAAAGAGTAATACACTATAACATTATGCAATATAATTATCTGTCTTTTCAACTGAATAATAACCACCTGTTAGTCCATTGATTGCTATGTGGGAAAAAATATATTTTTAAACAATCTATCTGGTTAATGATTGTGGAGCACTTATTTTGTATAAGTACATATTAAACATAGAGATAATCCTGTGAGATTATTAAATTATTCTTATAATATAGATACTAATATTAAACTCACATTATTATTTAAAAATATAATTTAGATTGTCTCCTCCCACCTGTGCCAGATTTAACGTTTCGTTTGTACAATATCAGCACCATGGACATCAGCACCATGGACAGCGACATTGCCGCACATTGGAAGGCGCCGGAACTTGTGAATGCAGCACATCATACATATTGATAAGGCGAGAAAACACGCAGCGGAAAGAAAAGGCAATGATGTGTTGACGGATTAAACCACGATGTACCAGGAATTGAGCCATCGGTTTATTGATGACACCCAAACATATCCTGAACACAACTCATTGCCGTAATGGTTCCAGAATCTCCCTCTTGCCATTTAAAGTCGTGCTCAAACGTATTTAATGGTCTCCTCGTGCGTACATAAATTATTATTATTTTTTTTATCCCAGATTTTGTTTAGAGGTTTGCCGTGTGCATGCAAAACCCTGCCTGAATGACTCACCAGCTCTGCATCCACACCAAATAGTTTGGCTCCCTCTCTTGGCGGATAGGGGGAACTGCAGAAGAGCGTTTAATAATCTAAGGATCTTCAGCAAATTTAGATTAATTTTAGGATTTTATCCCTAGTAGCCTTTCATAAGCAATAGAAGGAAGAAATGTTATTGGTTTTACTTTGATATTTGTCAAGACAATGAGGCAAGGTTTTAACAAAATAAGCTTCCCAAAAGCAGATTAACCTTATTTTTTTTAAATCAGTTCTAACAATACAGACATTTTCCTCTGTATACAAATATCAGTTATTAATACATGTATTAAGATTTATCAGCGGGGGGTTCTGACCAATAAATAAAACATGTAAAATCAAAAGTATAATTAAAGGCTTCATTATTGTGGTGGATTCGTCCAACCAAATTTTTACATGAAAATTCCAGGGTTCTCATTACTCTTCAATTTTCAGTATAAATAACTGTCGCAATAATTATTCTGGAAGGAGGATATTCTAATAGTAAACCAGATTTAAATATGGAACTTGCAAAAACAAAAGGAAGAAAGGATGGACTATAATTGATGGATTTAAAGCAGATTAAGTCATGGAGGGATGGATCAAAAAGATGGAATGACAAAATCCAACAGCTGTTCTCCCAGAATTACTCTTTGTTTAGCTCCATTTTTATTCTCATTAACCACCTAGTTTCCCCCATACAGGAAATTTTGCATTTTGCAGATGATCGAATATGATGCATCCCTCAGGTTCTGATTGCAGTCTTTTCATTGTTTTCCTCAAAATCACTAGGCAATGTTTGTTTATTATAAATGTACTTAAGTTCATGTTTTACTGTCATTTTGTTTTGGTCCACTAGCAAAATTTGCCCTTTAAAAAAAAAAAAAAAGACCGGAAAATATGTAATTTCTGGTAGACATAAGAGCTAGGCAGATGAGTTAAAAACGCAGTTAAAGCCGAAAGGAAATCTGTTTTTTGTAATATCTGGAAAAATTGGTGTATATCTGGCTCACATATTGCACCCTAGCCTAGTTCTAAATAATGCATGCACTGTTACATAACATGAACTTGATCTAAAAAAAATGTAGATGGTGTCATTTAATTTTTCTGATGTTTTACAGATAAAAGAAAATTCCAGCTGATAAATGTGATTGGGTCACTTATGTGATCAGCTATTTTATTTTTTCTATAACAAATGACTGATGCGTCATGACTGAACCACAGGCATTAGGTTGTAAACCTAAGTAATCCAATGGACATCAATCTCAGGGGTGGTGGGGTTCCCCATCTCTAGGACAACTGCAGAGAGATTAAGTCTATTTTTACACATGCTGTTGAAACTGCTAGATAGATTAGAATATAAGTGCATCTCTGAGGCGGGTAATATTTGCAGTGATTAATGGATAGATCCATGTATGAGCGTTTAATTGAATTTAAAGCTTTATCTTTCCATTATCCTCTGTGTTCAGATATTTCAGTCTTTACTGTCGGAGGCACACAGCATACACAAAAATCCCAGCACATATCTTCACAGAAACCGTTTCCAGATGGATGCCCTTCTATCCCTCTGGTGCAGACAGACCAGCACGCCGGCTCCATCCACCATTTCTCAGCATATTATATCCAGCGCACAATCACAATTGGCGCTACTTTAGACATCCCTCAAGCATGAATGCAGCACAAAGCAGAAATTAATGCATGGGCAGTTAGGCAGACAGAATGATATAATCTGCTTATAGGTGACAGATTAAAAGATCAAGGGAATCTGGATACTGACTTTCTCTAGAGCTTCACATGGGGAAAAAAAAAAAAACTGCTGAAAACCCCCAGCATTCACTGCGATTATTAGAAACAAGTGAAGAAAAGCAGCAGAGCATGAATTTTGTAAAATTGGATTTTATAAGGTCCAAATTAAAGTGTGTAGTTTAGACATGAGAGAAGATGAAGCAAAATGAAACCACATCTATACAAGGGTTTGTTTCATCGGTGTTCCAGTTTTGTTTTTCTTTTAATCAATGAAGGGAAATAAATTAAGACAGTTTAAAAAGAGCTTTTCCAGTTGATGTCAAAGAATGGGAATGTTCCCAATATCTAACATTAAATCAAGTCTAACAGTAAGAGAGAAAGGAGACAGAGGACAAGATTATCAACGCAACAGAAGGCAATTATAAATACATTATAGGGCAAAAAGCTTTCGCGCTAAAGACCAGTAAACTTAAAATGTTCCTGAGATGTCTTAGATTTACCACTGCATTTACTTGCCAATTAATCAGTAATGTCAACATATGGGTTCAGATGGATGTTTGTTTGTTTTTTTTATCTTAAGTCTGAATATAGTGCAACATATTAATCCTGTCCCACAAAACTGATAGTGCAGCCACATGCAAGCAAACAACTGATTTATTCTTAAACTTATTCCAAGCAGTCTTCATAACAGAGAAAGTTCACAAAAAAGGTCACAGTTTCATTGACTGTCTTCAACGTACCGATGCTCAAATCTTTTATTTGTTTTTAGAAGAGACAGAAGCCACAGTCTCCATGAAGTGCAGGTCGACCGGCTATCCGTCTTCAAGGAGGATCAAAAGGAGGTGCACACAATCATTCACGCATACAATTAGGAGAGCCGCGTCTATGCTTTTCACTTATTCTTGTCAGAGTTGAGAACTTGGTTAACAGCTGGAAAAGAAAGGATAAATAGGAAATGCAACAGATACCAGGGCAGAGATTTATGTACTTGCATAAAAATAACACCTTAACATTTTATTCAAAAGAGGGTTTATTTAGTAAATTTAAATAGTGTAACATATATATAGTATATATATAGTGGAGATAATTTGACACATTTTGTAAGCTAAGGCTTATATATTTGGTCCATAAAAAAAAGCATTCAGTTTCTCAGAAAAATAGTATATTAGACAAGACCAGTAAGAAAAAGTTTAAAAAACATAACACATGTCAGCCTACTAAAATGCTTGAGCATGCACCATACATAATATGCCACGTTTGTTAAGCGTCTATCTGGAACCAACTGCTGCTGCTTCAATGCAGAGTTGCATTGCGGTGATGAGCCAGTAGCTCTGCTGAGGTGTTACGCCCAGCTGGGTTCAATAGTGGCCTTGACCTCGTTCCCATTGTTGGCCTTGGTGTCTCATCTTCCTCTCCATGACACTCCAGATTAGCTTTGGGGTTTTGGTCAGGCAAGTTTGCTGGCCAACCAAGAACAGTGATACCGTTATCATTAAACCAGGTATGGGTCCTTTTGGGTGTTTGACCAGGTGCAAAGGTCTGCAGGAAAATAAAATCAGCATCATAAAACTTGTCAGCAGTGCGAAGTGCATTTTCCCACAAGTTAGCTGCTGCTGCTGCTGTTGGCTTCGATAAAACAGAGCAGACCAACATCAGAGGCTCCTTGAATCATCACTACCTGGAAAGCTCACACAGGATATCAAGATAGATATCAAGAGCCTCTCAACTCTTCCTGCAGACACTGTACCTTGGTTCCAAATTAAATGGCCAATAAGATTCCAAAGATCAGACATTTTCAACTCCCAACATTGTATGTTATGGGCCTCTTTTTCTTAAACTGGGGTTATTGTTGCTGCTTTGCATTTTTCTACCACACTTTTTCCTTCCACTCAGCTTTTTATCAACATCTTTAGAGATGGCACTGAACAGGCAGCTTCATCAGCAATGACCTTTGCGGACTGAAAAGGGTGTCAATGAATGTCTGCTGGATAGCTGTAAAAAAAATCATTGGTCTTAATATTCTAATTTTCTGAGAAAGTGAACATGTTTTTTGTTCTTTTTAATTGACAAAGTCCTCTTAACAAATAAAAAATACTTTATATTTACTGTGAAATAAATCTTTATAAGAAAGTCACTTAAAATATTTCTGTTTTTCCTAACCCTAACCCTATATTGAAAAGCTGTACTGTGAATAGGACAGTAAGTTAATGACTCACCCTCTTTTGTCACAGTCTCTGTAATGTTCTTGGCCTTGGAAGTCAGATCACTGACAACCGTGTCCATGGTGGCCTGGTGTTTCAGAAAAAATGGCCGGATCAACCGCTTGTACAACATGTCAGAGCCGTTCCACGTCACTGGAGCCATACACCAAATCAGGAAAATGCACTGGGGAGAAAGCGGAACAGATTTCAGATTAACCTTAGCTGGACTTTTTGGGCTGCCACTTTAGCTTCTGTGCTACATTAAGCTGAAGAAAGACTTTAACCGTCTGTTGGAAACAATAATCTGACATATTCAGAAATAAGGATCCACTAGTTGTACCTCCAACATTCCAAATAAGGCCTGCTATAGCAAGACATAAAGTACAGGACATTTTTCCAAATGCAACATTAGTTAATACATACAGATAAATGCAGGATGCCTGTATATGTCTATATACATAAAAATCATGTTCCTTTACATTTCACAAAGTTTTATGTGGGAGATATTTTATCCAATTTACCTTTGAAAACTATTTCCTATTATCCAACCATCACATTGGGCTACTAATGCAAACAAGACCAACAATAATTTTCAGGCTTAATTGTCTGAGAATCCCACAATTCACATAATGTGATTCAACTGAAGCAGATGTGAAGAGCTCAAACAACTGTATGCATTTGCATCCTTTACAGAATAAATAAGTTTAGTACACAAACTTATTCTAAAGGTGTTTTAATACAGATTCTCCACAAGAGGGCAGCTTTTGCTAACTGTATTTAGAACAGTTTTCCACCCAACCCAGCAGAAAACTACATAAAATCTTCAGAAAGAGTGTAGTTTAGTGTAAAATGACAATACGGAAAGTACTGAAGCAGGTCTCTCTGATACAAATGGTCCCAAACATTAACTCTGTTAGCTTAAATGCACATACAATGAATTTAAAAGTTTATATTAAAAATAGATACAAATCAATTAAGCTTAAAAACACACTTCAGAGACAATTCAAGTGGGATTATCTTAATGAATACATAAAGGAAACACAAATTACTGACATTTATCTCCATCTTGAAAACATTCAGTTGTAAACAGTCTGATCTTAAATCGATCAAAACAACAAAGCAACATGTTTTATTAGGAGATGCACTATGTACCTGACATGATGGTGGCTCTTGACCTAAAAAACAAATGTGTAAGCCTATAATTACTGCTCGGCACCTTGATTGGCCTTTTTTTTTTTAACAAGGATCCAGTTAATGCTGTTATTCATCCACCTCCACATATAATGCAAATGTAGGTTTTAGATCATTTAGACCAGAGTGTTCAGCATTAAGGGCTCTATGAGCATCCATTCTCATTAGCAGAAAATTTAACTTCATCTGTTACTAAACATTAAATCTAACTCTAGGATTTCCAGTCTCCATAAAAAGATGGGGATTATAAATCCGAAAAATCCAGTGCTAAAAATATGCAGAATAATCCTTTGAATGAGCTTAAGGGCTAACAACCAAACATTTTTTACCGTTAAATCAGAACAGAAATAACTCTGGAATTGACAAACCACCCTCCGCATGACCCGATGCTGAGGAAACTTATTTCCAACTACTCTGTTTAAGGGTTTGCTTTTCATGTTTTTTTTATATTAAATGACTTGCTTCATAATCAGTTACATAATATAGCATTCTTTTGTTTTTTTCATCACAGAAATAGGAAGTTTTTGTAACACAAATCCTTAATGTCTACGATTTATTACAGTATGTTTTTGATAATCCATGGTTAACCCACAACAAGTAAACTTTCAACCTTATAAAATATTTTCAAAATTCTTGTGATTTTAAGTCCAATTAATTAGAACTAGTGGAAATTGTGTAGGGTTGATAATCAGGCAATGCAGTACCTTCCTGCTGGATCTATATGTGTGTTTACTGTGACTTTTTCAAGGCTCTGAACTCATGAGCAAACAGTCACTGATGAGTCTGCTGAGGTGGGGTTGGGCGTGGCGACAGTGGTGCAGTAATAAGGTACAAAACCAAAGTTAAACGTTTCTTATTTTTAACATCGTCATCTGACATTGTATCACCACAGTTGGATTCATTATCACATCGATATTTATCTTTCAAATAGCCACTGGAAACAGAAATGTTGTTCAGTGAAACTGCAGGCGACTGGAAGATGAGAATTTTACCACGCTATGGGAAGTGCTGCCTTCCTTCAGGCAAAACAATACTGATTTTGTCCACTTGGGGGAGCCAAAATCAACCAAAACTTAAGAGTTCTTAAGTACTGCTTTAATACAGCAATCCTAGTGTTGACTTTACTACCTTTTACTACCTCAACAAGGCTCAACAAAGGTCTTGTCTAAGATCTCCTCCCACATGCAAAACCTTTGGCCATGTCAGAGTTTGAACATGTTTTAGAACAGCTCCTCCATGCCAATGGTGGATGCATGATACGATGTGCCAACACTGTTCATGGTAACATTTAGTTTTACTTTATAATTTGCAAAAAGCCTCAATCATTCTCAATGACCTGTTGAAGCCAATCTTTAAATGTTGGGTCAAACATTCTGTTAAAAGTATTTAGTTAAACAAAGTAATAAAAACTCATCATTTGTTGAAAACTCTACTTACTAATGTAGTGAGGTAGTGTGTTTTTTTTTCAGAGTACATTTCGCTCCATCAATAAATCTGAATTGTATATGTAATAATTAAAAATAACTGTAGTATATAACTGGTTTTAGGCAATGGTTTGGTTTCCGCAAACCATTGGAGTTAAATTTACTTTTCAAGTTTTACAGTGATCTAAAGTTGGGAAACTGTAAATTTTTCTATGGCGGGATGTAAAATGATTAGTTTCAACATATTAGGCAGTTCAAACACAGTACAATAGAGCTTAAGGATTTCATCAAGAATCAAAATTGTGATTTTTTTTTTAAACAAACTTTGGATTGGGATTTAATTTCCCTTTTCCTTTGCACTGAACCCAACTTGTAGATGTTTCAACCAAGGCTTTCAGTTTATGTGAAAGGTTCTTATTGCTACTTAAATGCATTGAATCTGTGTTTCAGCTGCATCTCGCTTTACCTCTCCATGTGGCGAAAAACCCACATCAAGCGTTTTACTTCCAAATAAAGGGATAGAGGGAGAAAGTTAATATATTACTCTTGGTAAATATAGAGTGATTAAAATAGGGTGACTGCAATTTGAAAACTGTGTTTTGGTTAATTTCAATTATATTGCAAATACAATTAACTTCCCAGTCCCTGCACACAGCCGGTCAGCCAGAAGAACAAAAATAATTTATCAACATCAGTTCAGGTCCTGCTGTATGTATAGCAAGAACTTTTGTACAGATTTTTTAGCTAAATGAACTTCAAACAGAGAGCATCATTGGAAAAGCCAAAATATTTTGAAGTTGAGTTGACAGAAAAATTTACGACCAAGTCAAATTCTGTTTGTCACCTTTTACTGTCTTTCAATGGCCTAAAGTTGAGTTAATTAAATTTACAACCTTTTACACCCTGTAGAAACCCTGTGACCTGAGAGCACAGCTGACAAACACATGTATGCATTTTATGGGAGAAATCAATGCATTAACTTACTTTTCCACAATAGTAAAAGGGGAACCAGGAGAGGAAGATGTCAGAAAAGGCCTCAACAATGCTGAACAGTCCATAAACGACCCAGTAGGTCAGCCACTGGGTGTCATCATCCTTGACGTTGCTCTCAATGGCCTTGATGCTGAAGGAATAGGACAATGTATGTCGATATAAATGTGTAATAAAAAAAAAGTCCAACTAATGATGATGAAGCCTTTAGGATTACCTGATAATATCGTCACATTAATGCAGAGACATTTGCATAATTATTTGCATTTTTAAACTGTAGGTAACATCCTACTTCCTTTATAATTTAACAGCTATGTTTTCAAACCCATTCATACTGCCTAAAAAGAAATGTGTACAAGTGGGCAAGTTATTTATATGTGCTAATCAGCCCAGGAATGCCATCATATTTACAATTTCTGTTGGGATAAGAAATAAAAAGTATTATCTATTTATATGTTTCTATGATTAAAACAAAGGTTAATGGAATTATTTATAAAGGGAGGAAGATTTCAAAACTTGGAGTGAAGCGTTTTCACACCAATTTAAAGATGATGTTATACGTACGAAAAATACGCTGGGTAGATGAATCCGATCAGGTTGCAGAGCAGTGAGGCTCCATATCCAAACAGAAGGTAGAGAGTGATGAAGGCGAGAATACCTACAAAGAAAGATGAGAGCAGAGGGCGGGGCAGGAAGGTGGAGGAGAGGATATCCAGTTACAACATAAATGCTGGGTTAAAGCATGTTATTGTGCCAAATCATAGGATGGAAGGATAGCAGAGAACTGGGACTAGAAGCTGTGCTGACATAAAGCCAAATACCAGTTATCAACTTTCAGCACATTTCAAAAATCACTGACATCTAAGCCTACACCTGTGACTGAAATGAAACAATTAATCAGTAAATACAATTCCACTGTGGGACACTATCAAAATTTACCCTTAAAAGTTAAAACCAAAATTAAAAGTGTCATGATAAAAGGCAGGAAATGAAACCAATTACCTCTTTTTGTCATAACTGCCAGCGCAGCTCTTCAGACTGGTCAATAGTATGTTTATAATTAACATGAATCAAAACAATGTTTTGTTGTGATACTCCCAAGTAGTTTGCTTCTAGAATTTTGGCTACAAAACGACCAAAAATATTTGCGAAAACCACAAATTTATGTAAGATATAACTGATGTAATCGGGTAATTTATATGGGTTACATTCAAACAAGAGGAAACACCATTCTAGGCATTAAGGATGCCATTTGCTACTCTTTACATCTCATTTGTGTCTTGCAGTTCATAAATTGATATCTATACAAATGCAGCAATAAAGAAGAAAGATGAAACAGATTGGACTCCAAGTCGGGACTAGAGCTCACATACAGAAACACTGCAGCCTGCAGAGATCAGACAGACTTGTTGACTGGAAACACATAAACAGCTGGAGGGTCTTCAGACAATGCTAATGAGAAAAAGCAGATGTGAAGCGTTTCAGTACGATTTTAAACTTACTTTATTCATTCAGCATCTATTCAAAGCAACCATTATCTCCCTCCATCATCTATACCCACTTTTCCTTGCAGGGTTTACAAAAGGTCTCATCCCTAACCAACTTCATATTTTTAGAATATGGAGGGAAGATGGAGAATCGGGAGAGAATTAATGTATGCAGACCTCAGGCTTAAGGGATCACACACTGTTAAAAATGCAAACTGTTTTAAAACGAATAATATTACAGCAGTAGCCTTCTTGCATTGATGCTACCTCTGCTTTCAAAATAAACTATTTTTGAACTTTTTAGCGGGGAACTGTTAAAGGATCATTTTAATTCAGCACCCTATTATGGAATTGGGTCCAAATTTGTCAACAAAACAAAGCTTTTGAGATCAAGTGTTGACCACAAATCCACCATTGGTTTGCTTTCAAAGTATATATTAAGTAGGGTTGAAATAATTGATCAGATTAAACATGATTATTCGATTACTGAAATAATGGTCAACTAATTTAGTAATCGATTAATTGTCAAATGGAGTATATAGAGTCTCTAAAACATGCCTTTAACTGACTCACTTAGAGTAGTAATTAGTTAAAAATTGTAAAAAAAAATACATATACACACATATATATATATATATATATATATATTTTTTTTTTTTTTTTTTTTGCATTTCAGGAAAAATAAAACTTTCATCCATCAATATTCTCTATCCAAAACTCCTGAAGTGGGTTTCACCCGGTTTAATGTCTTAAAAATCTTCTTTAAAGAACCTTTGGCTATTACCGTACTGATCATTATTTGAAAAAATAATCGTCGGATTAACCGATTTGTAAAATAGTTAGTTGCAGCCCTAGTATTTAGATTCAGACCTCACATCCAAGGTGTAACAAAGGTAATCCCTACAAACTTGCAGCTCAGCAAAAAAGCAAAACAAAAACAAAACAGCCCAAAACAGTGACAGTTGAAAGCAAGTAGCAAAAACAACATTTTTGCTGCAGGCAAAGGAAAGAACAAGACTGAGTCTTTCAGCACATTTAACTGCAAAGCTGAAAGCTGATAACATGACATTAAGGTTACTCCACCTTCTAACCTGGTTCTTCTGATTGGCTTTATTAGGATGCCACATTAAGATAAATTCTAAGTACTTTGACACTAGTCATAATCAGTTTTCATGTTACAAGTCCACAATGCTACCAGAGTGCAGCTCACAGATTAACTGGTAAACTAAGGAGGCGATATGATGCCACTCAGCTGCTGTTTATCTCTACGTTCTGCTGAACACGAGTTATTGAACAGCCAAGAGCCATTTGATTACAATGCTGAGTATTTACTTAACATCTTTGAATTTATAGCTACACTGCTGATACTTTTTCCATCACAGGAAAATTATGACCATGAAGTTAGTAAAGACTGAACAGCAATAAAGCCGCTCCCCAAAGGTTATTTACTAGTCACCATAAAACTGTCACTCGTCACCTTAAAAAAAAAAGTTCATTTTATGATCACAAAACAATCCTCTCACTATATTGATCTCCAATATCTTCAGAGATTAAATCACAAAAGTTTGTCCAAAGTGTGATGTTTAAATATTAATAGCCATTAGAACTGATGGCTATCCATAAATGATCTTTTAAAGCTTGTAGTTTGATTCAGCTTTCTAGTAAAAGCAATGAGTGATATAGAAGCTTTTAGAGACAAAACTAACAGAAGAGGACCGAGCAATATAAACGGGTAATTATAAAAAAATGCACTTAGTTCGCTAATGGGTGGGATGGCATTATCAGCCTTAATCCAGGTCCATTTTCTTTTGTGTTCAACCACTTGAAGTGTCTCAGTTTAATAGTATTTACATCATTATCAATCATCTGTAGAAAGAAGACAGGCTTTAGTTTCTATTTTGACTACCGGTACATTCAAGCTGTTTTCTTAGATTTCAGAATTAAAACTGATAACAAGAGTACCCCTAAGATTACTCAATCTATCCATCCTTCTATCAACATTACAAATCTGAGATATTAATATAATCAATGTAGTCTAATTTAGGGCTAAAAGTTTGTTAACAGCTACAATTAAACACACTCACTGTTGCTGCTGGGTCTTTTTTACCCAACTTTTAGTCAATTAACCCTTGCCCCATTTATCTTAGCAAGCAAACCATGTAAATGACATCATTTAAAACGAAGGTGTTAACCAACAAGTATGGAGAAATCAGTCAAACCACTCCTACAATTATTAAGACGGAGGAATTCATTTCACAATTTGTCTGCATGCAACTGGCTGAAACCACAAGAAAGCATGTTATTGGAGTCAAATTATCAAACAATAGTCATTTCATAAATAAAAAAAGCTAGCTAAATGTGTATCATAACTTTATGAGCAGAGGGCTTTTAAAATAAACAATCGAAATTCCTGGCAACTAAATTTAGTTTTTATTTTGGGACCGTATAAAACTGGATCTGAAAGTTTTAAATCAATTTAAAAATGGCACCCAAGTGTTGTTCCAGATTATCTAACTTGTTTCTTTTATGCAAGAAGAAAAGCTCCACTCTCAGCATAGTGCCTCGGTTGGCATGCGGTTCCCCTCATTTGATTTCCTGCTTCTCTGTGGTCACAGACACACACGCATGGCATTGGGTGAGCACACCATTATATACAAAGCTTTCAAAAATGTTAAATTAAAGACAACAGCAAGAAGAGAAATATTTAGGAAACATTAGTGAATATGATATACTTGGTATTATGCAGCACAGCCCAAGTTTACACAGCTAGAACACACAAAGTCCTTTGCAAACAGGCTTTTGATCCATGTATAAAATACTACAACTGGCTGCACATGAAACCTGCAAAACTCAGGATCAGCTGGCACATAAACTTGGCTTTTTGAATGCAAACTATTGCACTATTGTGAACACATCTCATTTGATGATATTTGAATAAAAATGGTGGGTCTGAATGTAGGGCACTCTGCCTGGGAAGTTTCATTCAGCTGCAAACAAAGAACTAGACTGTGGTGTCTGGCTGCCATATATTGACTTCTGCTATGCATATTGATTCTGCTGAGCTTTGTCAAAACAAAGCTCTCAAAAAGCTAATGGGTGGAGGAGTTTGAAGCTGAATGTCATCCCAGGATATCCCTTTCCATTTCTGCCCTGCAGTTGGTATTTTAGGGCGGATAAAAATACTCTCTGGCCAGCTGCGGGTGCATTTGGGATTTTAACAGCAACGTTCACATAGAAATGCTTTAGAAATAGAAATAAATTGAGCTGGTTGAACTTAGGCATGAAAGAGGGGTAATAAACAAAGAAAGGCAGTCAACTTTGGCAGCCTGCTTTTGCAGATATGGGGCAATTATCAGTAGAATTAGATAACGCTGACCTACAATAGACGGCGCAGCTTTTAAGCCAAACTAATTCATTTACCTGTATTTAAACGCCTTACAAAGTCTCTAAAAGGGAGCCGACATGAAGTGTTAACATACCCAGTGTCATATATTCTCTCTTCACTCCCGTTTTTTCTTCCAGCACCGCCAACTGGTCGGTGACAAAGTTTTTCTCATGGAGCAGAGTCACAAAGCGTTCTTTCAGATGACTCATTTTGTCCTTTTTCCTGAGCCTGTGTGCAACACAAAGTGAAACAGCTAACATGATACAAGCGTGGATATTTTATACAAGTTAAAGTGAATGTATTTTCTTATTTATTACTAACCTCTGCTTGTCAACTTGATGGCAAAGCGGCAGAAAAACGCCAACTGTTCGCTCGCTCAGAGCAACGGGCAAGGGGAGGGGGCGGAGCTTGAATCAGTGCGCTGACCAATCAGGGCGCAGCTCTAACCTCCTGGGTTCTTCTTCCTGTTGGGCCTGAAGGCGTTCAGCCTCCATACACATATGTAATTAATTATATCAGGGCTGCTTATAAGAGCACAACAATCTAAATTAAAGTAGAAAAACAAAGCATTTTTTGCAATAAAAAAAAGATTTCTATTGCTTATTTGCTTGTCTAGTTTAAACCGGTTTTTGAACAGCTGAAGCACTTTAAGAGATTTTAACACAATGGAGATAGTGTGTTCTGCTGGTGTTGGTATAAGAAAAATTCTGTCAATGCTTCAGTTCTCTTGATAATCTGTGGTTCATATTTTGAAACACACCAAAACTTAAGCCTAAAGAAAAAATAGACTGTTTTGATTTTTGAAACAAAAACTAATGTGGATTTCTTGTATTTTCAAAATTTATTCAATTAAGGTCACAAAAGAGGGGGTGCCTAATATGAGATTTATGTAGCTCTGTATGAGTAAACTCTTATTTAAAGCCTAACATATGGTTTCACATTCGGTTGCATTAAATCTATATTTTATTTTGATTTTTTTGAGACAGATCAACACATAATAACGGGTCGCTCTCAGGAGCTCAGGGAATTCCAGTGTGGAACAGTGATCTGATGCCAGTAGTGCAACAAATCCAGTCTTGGAGTTTCCTCGCTTCTAAATATCCCACAGTTACTTGTCAGCTGTTTAATAAGAAACATTAAGTGTTTCAGAATGATTACTCAGCTATAAAGTGATAGGCCATAAACTGATGGAGTGAGCCCAGAGGATGCTGAACCACATAGTGTGAACAGGTCGCCAACTTTCTGCAGTCACCCACTATATACCTCCAAACTCCATGTGGCCTTCAGATTAATTCAAGAACAGAGAGCTTCATGGAATGGGTTTCCATGGTCCAGCAGCTGCAGTGAAGTCGTAAATCGCCAAGTACAAATGCAAAGCGTCAGATGCCATGGTGGATAGCACGCTGCCACTGGACTACAGAGCAAGACGCATTCTCTGGATTGAGGAACCACACTTATCGATCTGGAAATCGGATGGACCTGTCCAGGTTTGATGATTGCCAGCAAAATGGTACTTGCTTGATTGTATTGAGCCCAGTGTAAAGTTTGGTGAAGGGTTGTTATGGTTTGGCATTGCTTTTCAGGAGCTGGGCTTGGCCTCTTAGTTCAATTTAAATGAATGAATTCTTCAGCATTCCAAGATCTATTGGATAATTCCATTTCCCAACTTTGTGGGGACAGTTTGGCGCTGTCCCCTTCCTTTTCCAACATGACTGTCTGGTGTGAATTAATTCAACTGCACTGCACAGAGTCCTGACTTTACCCCAAAGAAAACCTTTGGGATAGATTAGAGAGAAGACTGAGAGCCAGGTCCTGTCATTCAACACAAATTTGCTTCTAGAAGAATTGTCAAAATTCCCATAAACACACTCATGAAGCTTCCCAGAAGAGTTAAAGCAGTTCAAGCCATAAAGAATGGAACGATGTCATATTGAACTACTGTTCATTAGGAAGGGGATGTTTCGTCAGCTCAAATGTGACTCAAGATAGATGAGTAAATACTTTTGGTAATATATTTTATTTGTAGTATAAACAGTAACTTTTTTCCTTTTTCTGTTGTTAAATTGAAGTGTACAATTCAGGCCAGGAAAGCATAAACCAAGCCTTCTTCCTTCATCTTGTTCACTAAATAATTTTTCCCTGTTTATGTTTTGCAGCTGAAAATATTAATAGTTGGAACCAATCCCTTTGTAGGATTCTTACTTTCTGGACCAGGGCTGTCCTCCTCTTTGATTAAGATATAGATCTACTGACATTCATTGTGTTATTGGAAATGCAAAAAAAAAAAAAAAAAAGAAAGAAAAAAAAAAACATTGATATTGATCTGTCAGCAGAGGGCAGTGTAGAACAATTTCTGGAAGTTAAGTCACTTTTGGGAGCTCTGCGATCCACTGTCATGGAGTGAGAAGAGGCAGAGTACAGCCAGGGAAGAAAGTCAGTACAAGACAGGGACACCCAAAACAAAATCAAAATAAAACTTCTATGTGAAACTTTATGAGGGATTTTAGAGGCCAAACATGGTGGTGGTAGTGTGATCGTCTGGGGCTGTTTTTGTATAAGTTGACATAAGTGATAGTCCAAAGAACTTTGATGCCTGATACAAATCTAAAAGGAGAACATCCAGCCACTATTTTTTTTAACCTTTAGCTCAAGTGCACTTTGTTTTAGTGCAAAACAATTATTAGAAGTGAACCAGCAAGTCTGACTCTGAATAACTCAAACATATAAACAAACATTAGAAACCTTTAGAGTGGCCTAGTTAAAGATATAAATCCCACAGCAATGTTTCATCATTACCTTATTGATTGTTCATGCTTAAAACCCCTTCAATGTAACTAAAATGAATCACTATAGTGAAGAGAGGGACAAAATTCCTCTTAATGATACAAAACGACTTTCTGAAAGTTATTAGAACAAAACTGGTGGCAGTAGTTGTCACCAAGAGCATCACAACCATCTATCAGCACTAGACGGTAATAACTGCATTTTGTATTTTATTTATCTTTGTTTTGATATCAAAATGTATTTACCAATCCTAAACTTAAAGTGTTTTAAAAAAAAAAAAGAAAAGAAATAATAATAATAAAAAAACAAAAATCATTTATTAAGTGAAAATGTTCTTTCCAAGCCTTTTGGATTAAAGTTCAATTCAGAATATTATTATGTATGTTTTATGTGTGTTAGCAACGTTTATGTTTCTACAGCATGTTTATGCATTCACTGTACATTTGCACTATGCTTGTTTCTGAGATTGAAGCATTTCTCTTTTGAGTATTTCTTTTTTCTTTTTTTGGAATAATTTTGCAGACCAACTATTAAGCTTATGTTCTGCCACCTACTGGACTAGAGTGCGGACAAAAGATTGGTAGCAAAATAAAACAAAAAATACAAATATTCAAACCTCTAATATCAGTTCTGCAACTGGAAGTTGAAGATTGGTATTTTTGATTTTAGGGCCTATTTAAGCAAAATCTTCATTAACATCACCTTAAACCTGAAACTCAAACAGACTCTTCTGTTATTCTTTAGATAAGGCTTTTCCACAATATGCTAAATACCAATAATAATATATTTCCTTTATGACGTCTTTGATCCGATGCTCAATGGAGTTTTTCAATTCATTTTAAAGATAAATGTATTGGTTTTGATCCATATTTAAATTCTATATGTTTATCAAAAAAATGTTAAATGATATATTGTACAATATTACATTCTGAGATGTTAGGATATGCAAGGTTAGGTTAGAGATGGGATAATAAAGTGCCAGTGTGAAATATTTGAAGGAGGCAGAGTTGGACATAAATCTGTTGTATGTAATCCTACATGTTAAGCTTATACATTGACAATCACTTTGTTTCTTTGTCTTCTTTTGGTTTTACCTGCTGTATCAGGGTATGTAGCATAAATCACGTTTAATAAGTTTACTTTATATGCTAGGTAATATTTTCATGAGAGAAAAAATTGATCCTTTTACATATTTCTAGTCTTATCGTTTTATTAAATCTCATCCTAAATATTTCCTACTGTCCAATAATGTCTGCTCTAATTTTTCTGTGGTTTTACAATCTAAACATTTATCCACTTGACTTCTACTTTATATAAACAATGTTTGTTTTAACCCTGTATGTTCAAACCTTAATTTAGTTTAAACACCTTCCTCTCTTCAGCTCTTTCTAGAGACACTATTGGCTTTAATAGATTTTTGCACATTTTAATATTTCCTTCCACTTTTATCCATGTCCCACCTGTCCTGCCATTTCTTCATCCTTCCTTGTTTTAATGATTGCCTCAGCTTCTAACAGGCATTTTTATAATATTGTTACTCCTAGTCAATCTTTACAAAATGTTGTACATTTATGAGAAGCCTCTGTAATTAAAGAAAGCTAAAAATTTCTGTCAAACATTAACAAAAAAGACAGAAAGAAAAAAGACAGAATAGTTTAACCATAAAAATCCAAGGTGTTTAACATGAACCGCCACAAGGGGGCAATGTGGGGCCGTTTTTAGCAACGCTCTTAGATTTTGGTCTGCAGGAGAAGCAAAGTTACAATAAACGCCTCCAGATGAGTTGAAAAAGCCCACAGGGAGTTCAGACTTATCTCCTCTAACATTGACTCTCAGTTTCACATGAACAGGTGCTAAAAAAAAATCAGTTTGCATGATTTTAATGCATCACTGCTTAACAGAGTTTCCATGCTTCTGCTGTTTCCGAACAGTGTTGGAAGCTTTAATAATAAAAAAATTTTAAACTCACATTAAAATTTGAAGATTTTGAAGGCAATCGGGAATGTATTTTAGACTTTGCAGCCTAAATGTCTGTCTGGAAATATAGGCAACACAGTCAGTCAGTGCTGGACTGTATGAGCCTCAGAATCACCAGTAAAGATGATGGTGATTATCAAGCTGGGCTGCCATAATGTAGGGCTCACAGAAATGCTTAGAGAGCCACAAAAACACTGAGTGATGGTAAAGAGACTGAACATGAGAGATCTTGTCATGATTGATCATGTTACAATAAATGTTCCATTGTCTCTTAGCAAAAGGACTATGGTCAGTTGATCCTCCACGGAACTGAGAAGGATTATAGTCCTTAGGGTTCAACACTGCAGGACTCTGACCTGTCAGCAGAAACAACAAGCACCATGACTCTCATCTCCATCATCATTTTTATATTTCTGTTCCGCTCCTTTGTCTTTAATGCAGCACCATTGATTCCTTCTTAAGGAAAGGATGTCTAAAATGTGTCCGTTTGCAGCTGCAAAAAGTGACTGATAAGTATGTGGACCATCAGCACAGGTGCTTTAGACAGATGGAGACTTTTTAGCTATTGATTACAGCAAATTTACGATGGACATCATTTTCATTTTTTATTTTTTTATTTTATTAGCTCTGAAAGATATCATAAAGTGAATTTCTTTACTTTTGATGAGGCCACTACATAAAAAAGAAATTTAACACCAGTTGGATGATTTAAGTATCTTTAATGCTTTATTAAAATTATGCAGGGAGTTTTACAGATTATATGGACGCTGCAATGAAAATAGAACAGAAGAGGAAAAACATAAGAAAAAAAAAGAGAAAAGATCAAAGAAAGAGGAGATAGAAAGGAGATAATGATAAAACATTTTCAGTTTACTTCATCACCTGCAACGAGATGTAAAAAGAACAGCACAACCAAAAGACATGGTACAAGACATACAATAAAGTAAAACCTTGAAAGTATCGCTGAAGTAGTATTATTTAATCTGACATGTACTCTGTGTTACCTGAAGATAAGAGTGTGAACATATTTTTTTCATGTACTTAAAGAACGTAATACTATTGTGTAGATTCTACTGTCAAGGCTCAGAACAAAGGACCCAGAATTGAAGGCAAACAGACAGACTGATTTCTAAAAAGCATTTATTATGAAACAAAGGATCAGCAGTAAAAGCAGGGACGTCTAAGACAGGAACCTCTGCAGAGGTAAAAACTCAGGTTAGGAACCATGTAAATCTGACAGAGGATGATTACGAAGGAGTAAGTCACTAACCTGGTCTTAAAGTTCATTCCCAGGATCAGGCAATCAGAACACAAACAGGTACGCTATCGAACTCTCACCAAATGCTCGAATAATGTGGCACTGATGACTAGGAGCAGGCAGGTTAAATAGAGATTGGAGCAGGTGACACTGATAAACGGTGATGGAAAACTGGACAGGTGAATGTAATGAACAATTAAGCCAGTCATCAGCGCCAAGATCATGATAGCTACATTATATAAAAAAATCACTATGCGCAATTTAACTGGATTAAAACCTAATTAATTAATTAAAGTTTACATGTAAAAGCAGGTATCCAAAATTTTAAGTTTTCTTAGAGAACTTAAGTTTAGTGTTAAATGTTAAGTTTGATATTTTTTGTTACTCTAACTTTGTGACCTCATGCTTCATTTCTAATCTTAAGATACCTGCTGTTGTGAATAAAATACAATGTATTACGGTATTCATTTCTAATCAAATGAAACTGAATATGCTAATGTGCCATATTTTTCAATTTTTGTAGTATTTACAAAATATTATCACAATTGTTAGGTTTAGTGGACAGTAATAAAGTTAACATCACAATAGCTTCAGCTAAACAATTCAGGTGAAAAGACGGTTTCAGGAGACTCACCTTTTCCCTCCTCACATAAACCCAGGTGTCTGTTTGAATGTGTTTGCTGCTTTGAATGATTGCTGTGCATCACTGCTCCTAGATCAGTTTAAATGAAACTCAGACAAACTTCTCTGCAGTCTGACGGTAAAATTACTCTAAGCTACGATGTTACTGAGTCCACTGTTGATCACACTGCTGCTCCAACTCAGAGGTGAGGATCAAGAAGTTTCTGCTTTCCTTTATTCTCAGCTGAAATCCAATCAAATGTTAAATCTTCACACATTTGTACTTTTTCCATCATGTAGGATCAGATGGCAGTCCATCTGTGACTCAGTCTCCTGCAGTGAAGTCTGCTTCTTTGGGGGAGACAGTCTCTCTGAGCTGTACAGCCAGTAGTGGAGTTGATGATGATCTGAGTTGGTATCTGCAGAAACCTGGAGAGCCTCCTAAGCTGCTGTTTTACAGAGTAGGCCGCCGTGAATCTGCTCCAAGTCATTTCAGCAGCAGTGGATCAGAGCCTCAGTTCACTCTGACAATCAGTGGAGTTAAGGCTGAAGATGTAGGAGATTATTACTGTATGGGTGTACATTTAGTAAATGATGATGTTGTGTTCTCACAGTGATTTCTAGCTGTACAAAAACCTCCCTCAGTCAGACTGCAGACACACTGAGCTGTTAGAGCAGAAACTGACTGCAGCTGCTGAGCAGGAAGAGACCCTGATACAGACCACTGAACACAGAGCTGACAGAAACCTCACCAAGCACTAAGGTCACTTATGATAGACAGTGTCAGTTTAATATAAAAACTGAGCATCAGCTCAATATAAGAATCTTTAATATTTTCACTATTTAAATATATAAAAATAAATGTATTTCATAAAATGTTGGTTAATTAAAAGGTTCTGTTAACACAAATAAATACTTGTAAATATATATAATAAATCTGTAATTACTAAGAGGTTCTTCATTTATGTCTAAAGGTCCTTTACAATATTTTTTTTTATTATTGTAATTCTCTGAATAAATGTTCAACTATGACTACATGGAGTTTGTTCATTCAGACACTAAAGTTTATTAACTAGTAGCTGAGGGTATAAGCTATACTCCACATCATTTGCATTTATTGTTGATGCATTGTTTGCTTTTGTGGAGCAAAACATTAAAAGTTTTAATCTCCAGCTGTCTTTAATCTAAATGTTGGATCTAGTTTTTAAATGAATATTATGGCAGCACTGTTTATACACAAGACAGAATCCTTCAGGCCTTACACAGTTCTTCTAATTTCAGTTGTTGTGACATACAGCTGACTATAATTCTTCCTTATAACGGGCTGAAATAAAATGTTTTAAACTGCATTTGGGATCCACTTTAGGTGGGTTTATAGTTCTTCTCTTACCAACAGATTTTTGAACAACAGATGATATGAAATGGGATTTAATTAATAAAATTAATTTTCTAAAGGAAAAAATAAATACAAAGACAGTAAGTACTATAAATCTGCACTTTTATTGAAATAATCAGTTTGCTTCAGGTTTTATGGAAGAATATCAGTAATATGAATATTAGAAATCTGTCTAAACATGAAACATAATCTTCCTGAATAAAATACAAGAACATGATGATTTCCAGACATGAAGCTGCAGCTCTACTCTGAGCAGAGGTTAGGGTCCAGGCTTTGAGTGACAGGACTCTGTCCACTCTGATTGGCCTCACAGCTCACTGAGCCCGCCTTCCTCCACTGGTCTGCAGGGAGGCTCAGGGTGCTGCTCCAGCTGTAGCGGCCGTCCCTCCCCAGGACCTCCAGGCTGTTAGACACCCCTGAGGACCTGCTGCTGCCCCCCACCTTCCAGCCCAGCCTCCAGGTTGAAGGGAAGCCCCCGCTGGCCAGACACACCAGTGTGACACTGCTCTGCTGCTGCTCCTCTTTGGAGGGGGGGGAGGACGGTCAGGGTGGGACGCACCACACCCACTGGAGGAGAGAGGGGGAGGAGAGGGGGAGAAAAGACCCAGGAATGAGAATGAGAGCTGCTAAAAACACCTTCAAAGCTTCATTCTTCATGGTTAATGATGACATCTTCATACGTCTCTGATAATCAGTGACTCTTAATAATGAATCCCTGAGATGATTTTCTGATGATTAAACTGAGAGAGCTGAAACACTCATGAGGAAACAGTTCAAACGTTAACATCTGTTTCTTTCACTTCCTTTAAACTACATGGAAAACAAATGAAGCATGAAAACAAAGCTGATCTGAGTTTACTAATAAAATATTAGTTCAGTTTAAGAAGAATCCAGATCAAATATTTACAATTAATTAATTATCACAAAAGGATGATAAAAAAGACACTTAAAAAAAAAAGAAAAATCGAAAAAAAAATGTAAAAAAGTAAACATTTATGAAAATGAATTAAATACGCTGCAAGAAAGAATTAAACATTAAACCATCTAATGTAGATAATGTTTATCTACACATTTAATGGCTGCACAAGAAAATAAGTTTAATTTTCTCTCTGATTTGAACCATTTACAATCCAGAACAAACACTGACTTCTACAAGGCTCATCCTCAGAGTTTTTTTTTTCTTAAACTGCGGTAAAGTTTCTCCAAATCTTTCTTTTTAGTTAGTTGGATAAAAAAGCAAAAAGAAAAAAAAATCTATTTAGACAATTTAGCAGAATAAAATCTTTCTTGTACTTACAGTCAACGATGAGTTTGGTTCCTCCACCAAAAGTCGACCACAGTGATAGAAACTCATTAAGAGGCCGTACAAAAACCTCCTGCTCTCACAGCAAACAACTTTTTGCTGAAATGTTGCTTTTCAGAGTAAAAACGTTTCAGTTTATTCTTAATTTCACCTACAAATCATTTAATATTCATTCAACTTTAAATTACCTTATAATTTAAGATTTTTTTTTTGTTAAGTTATCAGCCATGATTTTCAAACTTTTGTTTGCCTCGTGGAAATATGTAAAAAAAATGTTATAATTTAGTTTTTACTTTGTTTAAACATGAAATAATAAAATTATAATACTCCAGATAATATAATCCTAAAAACACCAATTTCTATTGATCTATAACTTCTTAAACCTTGCTTACTAACAAAAGAGAATAATTATTCATATACCTTCAAGATAAAAGCTGTTTTATTCCATATATGAAAATCCTTTATGTTGTCTCTTTTCTATCTTCTATTTTAATAAGATCCTGATTGATTTAAATCCAGCAACTCTTTGTTCAGATGTTGTGTCTCTGTTTGTCTCCAGTGCGCTGAGAGCAGAGAAATCATTTCCATAGAGAGGAGGCTTTGCATGGTCAGCTGATCCTCCAGGGAACTGAGAAGGTTTATAGTCCTGAGAGTTCAACACTGCAGGACTCTGATCTGTCAGTCAAGCCAGCAGAAACAACAAGCACCATGACTCTCATCTCCATCCTCATCTGGACGCTGACCTGCTGCTGTTTTGCAGGTTCATTCCCTCTGCAACATTTCTAACATGATGTGCTGCTTTTTCTCTCATTTCTTTCTGCTGATAAATGAAGGATTTGTTTTTGTCTGCAGGATGCAGCGCTCAGGTGACTGTGACCCAGCCTCCAGTGGTGACATTTACTCCAGGATCAACTGTCACTATTAATTGTACAACAAATCCTGCTGTTTATCTTGATATTTTAATGTCCTGGTATCAGCAAAAACAAGGACATCCTCCAAAGCTCCTGATATATCAGGTGGAAAACCTTGAGACAGGAACACCAGATCGGTTTAGTGGCAGTGGAAGCAGCACTGACTTCACTTTGACCATCACTGGAGTTCAGGCTGAAGATGCAGCAATTTATTACTGTCAGAGCCTACATGAAGTAAATGATGATGATGTGTTCACACAGTGATTTCTAGCTGTACAAAAACCTCCCTCAGTCAGACTGCAGACACACTGAGCTGTTAGAGCAGAAACTGACTGCAGCTGCTGAGGAGGAAGAGACCCTGATACAGACCACTGAACACAGAGCTGACACAAACCTCACCAAGCACTAAGGTCACTTTTGATAGATAAGGTCAGTTTAATTTAAAAACTGAAAGGCTCTCAGAGCATCAGCTCAATATAAGAATCTTTAATATTTTGACTATTTAAAATTTTCTTTCTCATCTCTTTTTGATTTCATTTCTGAAGATTTTTTTACAGGATTTTAAATTGTTAACTGAAAAACCACACATGGAGCAAATTCCTTGGTTCTATTGACATCATGAACCAGTAGTACCACAGGAGAACCAGAAACAAAAAGTCCAATATGCTGAATTCACTCCGTTTTATTGCGAAAATAGGTTGTTATAAAGACTACTGTGTAACTAAACACACACAAACCAGCCTTGAATATACTAATGGATCTGCAGAGTGACACGTCACATTCTGACCAAGACTGTTGAAAATTAAACTCAAATATTTAGTCTTTATCTCTACTGATTATGCTTCTCTGATTGTTTAAAATGCCTAAAACATCCAAACATTCTTGGTAGTTTCATTAAAGTCAAATAAAGTAGCTATATTTTACTGTTAGCTGTCTGAAGAAAAATATAGATTTAATCAAATCTCCAGTTAATCACAAATTAATCTGTTTGTTTTTCTCTCTGGAATATGAACAGATATCCCTTCTACATTAAATAGTGATCATCATTAATTTATCTTTGTTTTATCTGACACTAAATGCAGTAGAAGCAGGATGCTTCCTATCAATGCTTCATTTAGCAGATGGACCTTCTGACATCATCAGCTGCTGCTAGGAGCTATACAATACCCACAATCTCTTGCATGAGAGGGTGTATAGACACAGCCCACCTGAAAGAGTTTAACAAACATATATTATTTCTTCTCATACACTTTATATAAATTACCCAAAAAGAAAGTATCAAAAGTATCTATTAAGAATTGCAAAGTGATTTTTAGAGCAAACATACTTGATATCATAAGTTTAGCTTTTTAAGTATTAATGAACACGTCACTCATTTAGTGTTATAAAATAAGATGCTGTTTCTAAATGTGGAGTTAATCCTAACTGTTGCCTGTTTTTCTGTTTTGCTTCATTAATCTTGTGTTTTCTGTGAGCAGAATATCCTCATAATAAAAAAGGACCAATGGCTTGAAAACATCAGGCTAAGTGTAATTAATGTATATAAGGCATTTTTATTAAATACATTTAGTCAACAAAATTTATATATTTCAAAACGTTTTGGTTAATTAAAAGGTTCTGTTAATACAAATAAATACTTGTAAATATATATAATAAATCTGTAATTACTAAGAGGTTCTTTATTTATGCCTAAAGGTCATTTACAATATTTTTTTTTATTATTGTAATTCTCTGAATAAATGTTCAACTATGACGACATGGAATTTGTTCATTTAGAAACTAAAGTTTATTAACTAGTAGCTGAGGGTATAAGCTATACTCCACATCATTTGGAGCGATGCATCAATCCCCCTTTGCATTTATTGTTGATGCATTGTTTGCAGTTTTTCACTACAAAGCTCACTATAGGTTCACAACAGAGTTCAGTGTTTTAAACCTTTGTGGACTAAAACATTAACAGCTTTAATCTCCAGCTGTCTTTAATCTAAATGTTGGATCTAGTTTTTAAATGAATATTATGGCAGCATAGTTTATATACAAGAAAAAATCATTCAGGCCGTAGAAATTACACAGTTCTTCTAATTTCAGTTGTTGTGACATACAGCTTATTCTAATTTTTCCTTATAACGGGCTGAAATAAAATGTTTTAAAGTGCATTTGGGATCCACTTGTAGGTGGGTTTATAGTTCTTCTCTTACCAACAGATTTTTTGAACAACAGATGATATGAAATGGGATTTAATTAAGAAAATTTATTTTCTAAAGGATTAATAAATACAAAGACAGTAAGTACTATAAATCTGCACTTTTATTGAAATAATCAGTTTGCTTTAGGTTTTATGGAAGAATATCAGTAATATGAATATTAGAAATCTGTCTAAACATGAAACATAATCTTCCTGAATAAAATACAAGAACATGATGATTTCCAGACATGAAGCTGCAGCTCTACTCTGAGCAGAGGTTAGGGTCCAGGGTTTGAGTGACAGGACTCTGTCCACTCTGATTGGCCTCACAGCTCACTGAGTCCGCCTTCCTCCACTGGTCTGCAGGGAGGCTCAGGGTGCTGCTCCAGCTGTAGCGGCCGTCCCTCCCCAGGACCTCCAGGCTGTTAGACACCCCTGAGGACCTGCTGCTGCCCCCCACCTTCCAGCCCAGCCTCCAGGTTGAAGGGTAGCCCCCGCTGGCCAGACACACCAGTGTGACATTGCTCTGCTGCTGCTCCTCTTTGGAGGGGGGGAGGACGGTCAGGGTGGGACGCACCACACCCACTGGAGGAGAGAGGGGGAGAAAAGACCCGGGAATGAGAATGAGAGCTGCTAAAAACACCTTCAAAGCTTCATTCTTCATGGTTAATGATGACATCTTCATACGTCTCTGATAATCAGTGACTCTTAATAATGAATCCCTGAGATGATTTTCTGATGATTAAACTGAGAGAGCTGAAACACTCATGAGGAAACAGTTCAAACGTTGACATCTGTTTCTTTCACTTCCTTTAAACTACATGGAAAACAAATGAAGCATGAAGACAAAGATGATCTGAGTTTACTAATAAAATATTAGTTCAGTTTAACAGGAATCCAGATCAAATATTCACTATTAATTAATTATCACAAAAGATTGATTAAAAAAAGACACGTTAGAAATAAAGAAAAATTAGAAAGAAGTGTAAAGAAGTAAACATTTATGAAAATGAATTAAATACGCTGCAAGAAAGAATTAAACATTAAACCATCTAAAGTAGATAATGTTGATCGACACATTTATGGCTGCATGAGAAAATAAGAGTAATTTTCTCTCTGATTTGAACCATTTATAATCCAGAACAAACATTGACTTCTAAGAGGCTCATCCTCCGAGCTTTTCTTAAACTGCTCTAAAGTTACTGCAAAATTTTCTTTTTAGTTTGTTGGATAAAAAAGCAACAAAAAAAACAACAACCCAAAAACAACAAAAAAACATTTGAATTCAAACAATTTAGCAGAATTAAATCTTTCTTGTACTTACAGTCAACGATGAGTTTGGTTCCTCCACCAAAAGTGTCCCACAGTGATAGAAACTCATTAAGAGGCCGTACAAAAACCTCCTGCTCTGACAGCAAACAACTTTCTGCTGAAATGTTGCTTTTCAGAGTAAAAACGTTTCAGTTTATTCTTAATTTCATCTACAAATCATCTAATATTCATTCAGCTTTAAATTACTTTATAATTTAAGATTTTTTTTGTTACGTTATCAGCCATGAGATTCAAACTTTTGTTTGCCTCGTGGAAATATTTAAAAAAAAAAATTATAATTGAGTTTTTACTTTGTTTAAACATGAAATAATAAAATGATAATAATCCAGATTATATAATCCTAAAAACACCAATTTCTATCGATCTATAATATCTTGAACCTTGATTACTAACAAAAGAGAATAATTATTCATATACCTTCAAGATAAAAGTGGTTTTATTCCATATATGAAAATCCTTTATGTTGTCTCTTTTCTATCTTCTGTTTTAATAAAATCCTCAATGATTTAAATCCAGCAACTCTTTGTTCAGATGTTGTGTCTCTGTTTGCCTCCAGTGCGCTGAGAGCAGAGAAATAATTTCCATAGAGAGGAGGCTTTGCATGGTCAGCTGATCCTCCAGGGAACTGAGAAGGTTTATAGTCCTGAGAGTTCAACACTGCAGGACTCTGATCTGTCAGTCAAGCAGCAGAAACAACAAGCACCATGACTCTCATCTCCATCCTCATCTGGACGCTGACCTGCTGCTGTTTTGCAGGTTCATTCCCTCAGCAACATTTCTAACATGATGTGCTGCTTTTTCTCTCATTTCTTTCTGCTGATAAATGAAGGATTTGTTTTTGTCTGCAGGATGCAGCGCTCAGGTGACTGTGACTCAGCCTCCAGTGGAGACATTTACTCCAGGATCAAATGTCACTATTCGATGTACAACAAATCCTGCTGTTTATCTTGATTTTTCAATGTCGTGGTATCAGCAAAAACCAGGACAGCCTCCAAAGCTCCTGATATATCTGGTGGGCATCCTTGAGACAGGAACACCAGATCGGTTTAGTGGCAGTGGAAGCAGCACTGACTTCACTTTAATTCAATTCAATTCAGTTTATTTATATAGCGCCAAATTCACAACACATGTCATCTCAAGGCACTTTACAGTTCAACCAGATCAAATTGATACAAAGTTTTCTATCTAAGGAAAACCAGTTGATTGCATTGACTCATTGACTCAAATACAATCCCCCACACTAAGCATGCTTGTAGCGACAGTGGAGAGGAAAAACTCCCTTTTAACAGGAAGAAACCTCCAGCAGAACCAGGCTCAGTGTGAGCGGCCATCTGCCGAGGCCGACTGGGGTTCAAGGAGACAGAAGCAGAGATACAAAAAGCAGCTGTAAAAGGCGGCCCCGTCCAGGAAACACACAGCCAGGCAGACGAGCTCCAAGGCAGCTCCCATGCCAGAGGACGAAGAAAGCACATCCACTCAGTCACGGTCAGAGAAACAGGACCACACTGGAAAACAGGCCGATCTCCAACATCTATAAACAAGGGTGTTGATAGAAGCAGCACAGCTGATGTTTCTTTCCAGGATGACGTCACAGCCAAACAGGAACAGACGAGGCAAAGCTACTCTGAGGAAAAGCAGAGAGAGCAGAAGGTTAGAGATTGAACTAACAGATTCTGCAGAATAGGAGAACAGAGAGAGAATGAAGCAGAATGATGAAATGGGGGTCCCTATGTCCTCCAAAAGTCTAAGCCTATAGCAGCATAACTATAGAGATAGCTCAGGATAACCTGAGCCACTCTAACTATAAGCTTTATCAAAAAGGAAAGTTTTAAGCCTAGCCTTAAAAGTAGACAGGGTGTCTGCCTCACGGACTAAAACTGGTAGTTGGTTCCACAGGAGAGGAGCCTGATAACTAAAAGATCTGCCTCCCATTCTACTTTTAGAAATTCTAGGAACCACTAGTAAACCTGCAGATTGAGAGCGAAGTGCTCTGTTAGGAACATAAGGAACAATCAGATCTCTGATATAAGATGGAGCTTGGCCATTTAAGGCTTTATATGTGAGAAGGAGGATTTTAAATTCTATTCTTGATTTAACAGGAAGCCAATGAAGAGAAGCCAGGATAGGCGAGATATGATCTCTCTTTTTAATTTTCATTAGAACTCTGGCTGCAGCATTTTGGATCAGCTGAAGGCGTTTAACTACAGTTTGTGGACTTCCTGATAGTAAAGAATTACAATAGTCCAGCCTTGAAGTAACAAATGCATGGACTAGTTTCTCAGCATCACCCCTGGACAGGATATTTCTAATTTTTGCAATGTTCCTCAGATGAAAGAAGGAAATTCTAGAAACCTCCTTGATATGGGACCTAAATGACAGGTCCTGATCAAAAACAACACCAAGATTTTTTACTTTATTATCTGAAATCAGTTTAATCCCATCCAAATGAAGTGACTGGCTAATCAGTTTCTTTTTCAGAGACTCTGGTCCAAAGACTATAACTTCTGTTTTGTCTGCATTCAGAAGCAGAAAGTTAAGAGTCATCCAGGTTTTTATGTCTTCAAGACATGCCTGTAATCTATGTAATGGGTTAGCTTCATCTGGATTTATAGACAGATATAGCTGGGTATCATCAGCATAACAGTGGAAATTAATCCCATGCTGTCTAATAATTCTACCAATTGGGAGCATGTATAAAGTAAAGAGAATTGGTCCTAGCACTGATCCCTGTGGTACTCCACAGGTAACCTTTGAGCGTGTTGAAGATCTATCATTAACATGAACAAACTGAATTCGATCAGATAGATAAGATTTAAACCAGTCTAGTGCTGTTCCTTTAATTCCAACAAAATATTCAAGTCTTTCTAAAAGAATATTATGGTCAACTGTATCAAATGCAGCACTAAGATCCAACAGGACGAGCACAGATACAAGTCCATTATCTGAGGCCATGAGAATATCATTAGTGACTTTCACCAGAGCTGTTTCAGTGCTATGATGAGCTCTAAAGCCAGACTGAAACTCTTCAAAAAGTTCATTATGGTGGAAGTGATCGCAAACTTGTTTGGCAACTACTTTCTCAAGAATTTTGGATAAGAAAGGAAGATTGGATATAGGTCTATAATTGACCAAGTCATCTGGGTCAAGAGACGGTTTCTTAAGCAGAGGTTTAATTACAGCAACCTTAAAAGCTTTAGGTACATATCCCTGTAACAGAGATAGATTAATCACATCTAAAATGGAGGAGGAGATCAAAGGGAATACCTCCTTAAATAACCTGGTTGGAACTGGATCTAACATACAAGTTGAAGGCTTAGATGAAGGCAATAATTTTGCTAATTCAGAGAGTTCAACTGGATCAAAGCAGTCTAAACCCAGTTCAGATTCCATGACTACCTCAGGTACAATCGCGGATAGAGGAGTGCTTATGATCTTATTTTTAATAAGATCAATCTTATTTATAAAGAATCCCATAAAGTCATTGCTGCTAAGAGCAGGTGGAATGGACGGTTCAACAGAGCTATGGCTCTGGGTGAGTTTGGCAACTGTATTAAAAAGAAATCTAGGATTATTCTTATTCTCCTCTATTAATGAGGAGAAGTATGCTGCTCTTGCTTTACAAAGGGTCCTCTTATACAGCAGTAAACCATTTTTCCAGACTAGGAAGGACTCTCGCAGGCCTGTGGAGCGATATTTTCTCTCCAGTTTCCTAGCATTTTGCTTCAAAGTACGCAGCTCTGCATTAAACCAAGGAGCAAGCTTTCTATTTTTAACGGTTTTCATTTTCAAAGGAGCTGCGTTGTCTAAGGCAATACGCAGAGAACTAGCAACCCCATCAACAAAATCATCAACCTGTGAAGGGGAATAAGCTAAACTTTTGCACTCTGCAGCACTGCTCAGTGACACAGAGGAGAGAGAAAGTGAAGCAGATTCTTTAAAATTTATAACTGCACTATCTGATAAAGATCTACTAAAATTGAACCTTCTTTTGGGGGAGGAGAACTCTGTTAAAGTAATCCTGAAGGTTATTAGAAAGTGGTCAGAGAGGACAGGGTTGTGAGGAAATACTGTTATTTCTTCACATTCTATGCCGTATGTCAGCACAAGATCCAAAGTATGAAGATGAGAATGCGTGGGACTATTCACATTTTGAACAAAGCCAATAGTGTCTAAGATAGCATTAAAGGCTGCTCTTAAGCTATCGCCTTCAATGTCAGCATGGATGTTAAAATCTCCCACTATGATGACCCTGTCAGTATTTAATACCAAATCAGAAACGAACTCTGAAAACTCATCTAAAAATTCAGAGTAAGGACCTGGTGGACGATACAAAGTTACAAAAAGAAGAGGTTTTCTTGCCTTGAAATTTGGATCAGGGAAATTAAGGGTTAAATGTTCAAAAGAGTTGTAGGTATTAACTGTTTTGGGAGTAATCAGTAAGTCAGACTGGAAGATTGTTGCTACTCCTCCTCCTCGCCCAGAACTTCTGGGGATGTGAAAATTTAAATAGCTTGAAGGAGTTGCCTCATTTATGCTCACATAATCCTCTTGCTGCAGCCAGGTTTCTGTTAGGCAAAACAAGTCAATGTGATTATCACAAATCAAGTCATTAACTAGTAGACTTTTAGAGGAAAGCGATCTTATGTTAAACAGACCGCATTTAATTGTTTTAACTTTTTCCCCAATTTGAGTTATTTTGATTTTAATTAGATTATCATGATTTACTCCTTTGGGAATCTTTGCTAATTTATTAGATTTTGGTCGTGGGCAAGACACTGTCTGGATGGAGTAAAGAGTGGGTAACAGTAGAGAAGCTGCAGAGATGTGTGTTAAACTACAACTCTGCTTCCTGGTCTGCACCCTGGGTGGTCAGGGTTTTGGAGGACTAATAAATGTGGCCAGATTCCTAGAAAGAAGAGCTGCACCATCCAAAGTGGGATGGATGCCGTCTCTCCGAATCAGACCAGGCTTTCCCCAAAAGGATTGCCAATTATTAATGTAGCCCACGTTGTTTTCAGGGCACCACCTAGACAACCAGCGGTTGAATGACGACATGCGGCTAAACATGTCATCACTGGTCAGATCAGGGAGGGGACCAGAGAAAATTACGGAGTCCGACATTTTTTTGGCAAACTTACACACCGAAGCAACACTAATTTTAGTGACCTCCGATCGGCGTAACCGGGTGTCATTACCACCAGCGTGAATAACAATCTTACTGTATTTAACCTTATCCTTAGCCAGTAGTTTCAGGTAGGATTTGATGTCGCCCGTTCTGGCCCCCGGCAAACATTTGACTATGGTCCCTGGTGTCTCTAATGCCACGTTTCTGACTATGGAGCTGCCAATCACCAGAGTGGGCTTCTCAGTGGGTGTGTCACTGAGTGGGGAAAACCGGTTAGAAACGTGAACGGGTTGGTGGTGACCAGTGGGCAGAGATCCACGACTACGCTTTCTGCGTACAGTTACCCAATCGCCTGGCTGCTCAGGCACTTTTGGAGGACAGCTACGTGGGGGGCCTACTTTAACTCCTGGATGTTCAACAGCCTGAAGCCTGGATTCTAACTCTGACACCCTCGCCTCCAAAGCTACAAAAATACTACACTTATTACACATCCCATTATCACTAAAGGAGGCAGAGGAATAACTGAACATCTGACACAGAGAGCAGGAGAGAGGAGAGGAAGAAGGAAGAGTTGGAAAAGAGTCAAGGGAGGGAGAGAGAGAAGCCATAGCAATGCTAAGCTAGCGCTAGCCTAGGCTAGCTACTTCTTGCTATCAGAAATAAAACCGTGTGAAACTGACAAGTGCTCAGTAGAAAAGTGCAGCAGAAGGTGCTATGTTTTAAAGTAGTCAGTTAGAGTTACTTAGATACAGAGATATCACAGAGAAAATAACTTAACTTCAGATGGAGATCCTCTGAACAGCTGCACACTCAGTTAATCCAAACAGGAAGTGAACAGGTCCAAACAGGAAGCAGGAAGCAAAAACCAATAGAGCTAGAGAACTTTAACCATCACTGGAGTTCAGGCTGAAGATGCTGCAGTTTATTACTGTCAGAGTTATCATAGAGGTCGTGTGTTCACACAGTGATTTCTAGCTGTACAAAAACCTCCCTCAGTCAGACTGCAGACACACTGAGCTGTTAGAGCAGAAACTGACTGCAGCTGCTGAGGAGGAAGAGACCCTGATACAGACCACTGAACACAGAGCTGACAGAAATCTCACCAAACACTAAGCTCACGTATGATAGATAATGTCAGTTTAATCTAAAAACTGAAGAGGATGTTAGAGCATCTCTTTACTATAAGTATTTATAATATTTTCACTATTTCAGTTATTTTCTGAATCTCTTTTTGAGTTTGAGTCTTAAAAATTTTTTTCCAGGGCTTTAAATTGTTAAACGACAAATCAAACATGGAGCAAAATCCTTGGTTCTGGGCTGCTGCTGGTGCCTATCTCCAGCTATCTATGGGCGATTTGCGAGTCCATCACAGTGCAACACAGAGACAAATAACCATTCACACACAAAACCACAACTAAGGAGAACTTAGAGAAACCAATAAACTTAATAGTCATGTTTTTTGGACTGTAGGAGGAAGCTGAAGTACCCAGAGAGAACCTACACATGCTCAGGTAGAATGTGCAAACTGCCTACACAAAGACCCTGGGCTGGGAATCGAATCCAGAACCTTTTTGCTGCAAGGCAGCAGTGCTAACCACTGCTCCACTGTGCAGCCCCGAATCAAAACCAAAAGGTGCTATAGGCTGACTTCACTCAGTTGTATTGCGAAAATATGTTGTTACAAAGGATCCTAGGTTACTAAACACACACAAACCAGCCGTGAATAACAGATCTGCAGTGACACATGTCATATTCTGACCACAACTGTTTAAAATTACTCTGAAATATTTAGTCTTTATTTCCAGAGATTATGCTTCTCTGATTGTGTAAAATGCCTTAAAAATCCAAACATTCCTGGTAGATTACAACTCAAAGCTACGAACAAATTATTTGTCTTCAAATTATTTGTCATGATTTTACTAAGGTTCAGACCCAAATGCAGAAGACCAAACAGGGAGACCAGGGAAAAGGTTTAACAGGTTTTATTGAAGAGATTATTCAGAGAGAAGTGTTGCTCTGAACACTGCTCAACCGGAACTGAAAAGTGAGGGGAAGACACAGCGGTTAGTTCAGGTTCAGTGGGAAACTTGACGGGTGAAGTTGGAGAAGAGGATTTGGTTGCTGACACGTTTCCAGAGAATTGTTGAATCCTTGACTCCAGTCTGTATGCTGTAGTTCCAGTGTTTGTCTGATTCGGTGGAGGGCAGAACAGGGTTTACCCAGAGTGCGGTTGTTAGTAGGTGAACGGAGAAACTGACTGCCACTCAGATTTCCTGCGGTACTTGAACGGATCATAGTGAAGACTATTCCCTTTCTCAGTGCGAAGCTCAAACAATCTCTTGGGGAAATAGGATCCAAACCTCCTGTTTAAACCCCAGCTCAGTTTGTAGCTCAGTTGATCCTTCCAGGGAGAAAAGGTCCGAAAAATCCAATTTGCAGGATGACTTCCTGCCGAGAGGCAAAGACAAAAACAAAGTTAAAACTCAGGTTGACTAGAACTCAGTTTGACTCAGCAAAACTCAGCTTGGCTAGAGTACCCAAAACTGGCAAACACTCTGGCGTTGAGGTAGTGGCAGTCAGCAGCTTAAGAACACTCCGTTTAATGAGGACACCATCAGCAGGTGTGTGAGGAGGTGGACCAGAACCAGGCGCCTCCTGGTGGATGAAGGGAGACAAACACAGAAACACAAACAGACAGGAGTCCTGACAGTATTAAAGTAAAGTAAATTAAGTAGCCATATTTAACTGTCTTAAGATATGTATAGGTTCAATCAAATCTCGGGTTAAACACAAGTTAACCTGTTTGTCTTCCCCTCTGAAATATGAACAGACATTCCTTCTATATCAAATATGATCATCAGAACAACAACATAACATAACAAAAGGACATATAAAGGGTATGTAAACTACTGGTAAATATATAATAAATCTGTGATTATGTTTATGCATTAAGCAGATGCTTTTATCCAAAGGGACTTACCACGTAGACACAATGTTGAAGTAGGCATTAACGTGAAGGATGTTTCCTAAGGAATCACACTGGCAACTCCCCCCACCCCCCCAAGCCCCTCCCCCAGCAGGGATTCAAAGCCAGGGCCTCCTGTGTGCAAGTCAGGTTACTTACCACTTGAGCTAGCCAGCTAAAAGGGTTCTATATTAGGTGCAATAGGTCCATTGCAAAATGTTTTATTATTGTAATTCTAGGAATAAATGTTTAACTACGACTAAATTGAGTTTGTTAATTTAGACACTAAAGTTCATTAACTAGTAGCTGAGGGTATCAGCTGCACTCCACATCATTTGGAGAGATGCATCAATCCCCCTTTGCAATGCAACCGGTGTTGATTTTCCAGCGAGGCTCCCCCCAGAGGGCGAAAGTAAAAGTGCACTGTCGTAAATATGCTCAGCTGTTCTCCTGGTTTCTCCGTCAAGCCAGGCGCGGTTGTTTTGAGCTTAGCAGACAGGCAAACGCAACAAATCACCATGTCTACTGCTGTAAGTGACTATTTTGTTCCAGTTTTCGAGTTTGAAAATTTAGCATGTTTTCATACATTATTTGTTATGCATGTGTCTAAATAACAAAGATTGTAGTTAGCCAAGTTCTCGCCGTAAAGCAAGACCGACTCTCGCGAGACTTCTGAGCCTGTGAGTGCGGGCCGATAGCCTGGGTGCCATTCCGAACTTAGTCCCGCCCTCAAGGTTTGAGGTCGGGAAGTTCGGTCTGGCATTGCTCCATAGTAGCGCGAGTATGATCGCCGACCCTCTGGCGATCCAATCAAATTGTCAGGGCGGGCTTTATACAATGATGGACAGATGATCAACAGTAACGTAATCAACCATGTGACCAAAGCGCTCGGGTGACGACAACAACAATGGCTGCCACTGGAGAGTTGAGGTGAGTAGATTCTGCTATTAGGTCTGTTCTAGAAGATATCGACAGCAAATTAATTTTAAAAGAGGAACCACTGCATGAAAAGTGGGATTTTCGTCAATATGCGGCACTGTAGATTGTCGTGGAACTTCAGGTTAGCGGCAGTTTACGACAATTTGCAGACTTCGCCGAAAACTCCCGTAAATTGTCAGAAATTGACGTGGACTTTCTTAGGCAGTGTTCCCCCCATGCCTCCCCCCATGGAATTCTAGGGGAGGCTTTAACATGTAAATGAACATGCTGTGAGCTATACAAATGCAAATCAGGGTTGCAGGGGGGGTTTTACACCAAGTGACATTTTTCTGAAAGGTAAGAATACAAAGAGATCAGGCTCAGTATAGCCTCTTACATTTTAGCTTGAATTGATTTATTTAATTAAAGTATAGAGACCAAAACAGATCTTTAGCTGACAGAGCAATACATTTAGAGCAGTAATTATAAAAAAAAAAATTGCATTTAAGATAAAAAATAAAATGTTGTCTGTCAATATGCTCAATTCACAATTACTTAAGTGGAAAAGTTTCAAGAAATGAGTCTGAGATGATTCACTTTATAACATGGCGCATTATCCTGTTGGAAGTAGCCATCAGAAGATTGGTACACTGTGGTCATAAGGTCCGGCCAGGTCAAGATCCGCAATTGCAATCGCACTAAACAGGAAAAAGAACATCGACATATTCCGGTTCGTCAAATTAAAATATAGCAGCAACAGATCGGTGACTAGAAATTATAGCACAATTCTTATATATATATAAAAAAAAAAAAAACTAACACCGTTTATTTAAATGATTGGATCCAAACTATTGGTTATTCACCAACGAGGAAGCAGATTTCTCATCTCCATCAAAATATTTATTTTATACCGAGGGACTTAAACTTTAATCAAATCCATTCAAAAGAAACTTCTTATTACAGGAATGAAAAGAGATGCTGAGTTTGGAAGTAGTGAATAAGTTCATTAAAAAAAAAGCAGTTATGAATTATCCTTATCCCCGTTACAAAAATCTACAAAAATATATATATATATTTGGGCAGAAACTGAACATATGCTGGATGATGGTGGGATTTTTTTAATATGTCATATTAAATTAAGCGCTTACAGGGTTCATACAGGAATGAGTGACTCTAATTTAATGCTATTTGAAATGATTTTAATGCCATCAACAAGAACCATGTACACAAGTTATTAGTGTACATTAGGGTGACCATATTTTCATTTGGGAAAACCAGGACACCTTGGAGCGGGGGGGGGGTTGATTGAAAGAACAAATGTCTCATCATCGGGATCCGTGATCAGAGGAAATGTTACTTGGCGCAGATCAGTGGTGAAAATTGGAAGTTAAGTTTAATATAATACAACTCTGTGAATAGTTCCGTCTGAAATGAATGAAAATAGTTGTTTTAATGGTTATTGAGTCAGATATGTGGCGGTAGTGTTTGATTTATCTAAAGGTTTTTATCTGTTACTTTGTAAATGGGTTTGGCTGTAATTTAAGGACAGATTCTAATAGATCTGCAGAGTGGGAACTATAAATCTGATGGGAGTTTAATTTTTTTATTGTTGTTTTGCACAATATGCTTAACTAAGTATTATTTGTTGTTGAATATTAGAGATTTTGCAGATATATTTTGTAGATACATTGTTTAGATTTACTTATATATTTCTAACCCTTTTATAGAATAGAATAGAAAATCCCTTTATTGTCCCACAATGGGCAAATTTACAGCAGCAGAAATATTGAAAATGGTCACACAAATGTGGACCTTAGAAAAATGTATAAGAATAACATAATAGGGAAGAGTTAAAATATACAAAATAAAATTCTGTAAAGTGTTTTAACAATATAAAACTGGATAATTAATAACCGATATGCAGCTATGGACATTTTTACAGTAATGAATATTTGAAAATAGCAGCAACATCAGAGATGTGCAAAATGACAGCAGCAGGTTATTTAACTGACTAAGGTTTCTATTATTACATTTAATTTTATTAGTTCCTGCTCCCGGTGGTTGGAACCTTTATTCCACTCTGGATTCTTGTGAGTCTTTGTTCACTTTAACTTTTTTAAAAATAAATAAATAAACAAATAGTTTTGAAAACCTCGGTATTCATTCTTTTCCTGCTTTGTGTGTCAACTTTCACGGTTGCTAAGTAACAGAGCATATGCCGGTAAAACCCGTCGAAGGGTAGACCTGGTCGAATTCACAGCCTAAACTCTTCCGGTCTCCTTATTTTCAAGGACTTGGAAGGATCCAGTAGACCGCGTCCTTGGAGGATGCAGCCCAGGTTTTCGAACAGAGCCTCTGATTAAGAACAGGGCTGCCTGCACCGACGCGGCTCAGGGATTACGTCACACAGAGCGTCGTGCGCAGTGAAATCAGGACATTTCCTCACTTTCTAAAAAAAACCCGGGACGCCCGGGACAGGACGTGAAATACGGATATGTCCCGGGAAATACGGACGTTTGGTCACCCTAGTGTACATGAAATATGAAGGAGCTGTAAGCAGAGTTCCATGACTCCTGTATGTATGTAAACACACACACACACATATACGTATATATATATCCTCTAGCTTTTTCTCCGCCTGGAGCGATATAATATATCTGACGAAATTGTTTTTATAAGCATTTTTTATTAAAGAATTATAAATACTTCGATAAACATATTTAAATAATTTTAGTGCCAATTAAGGGCTTGATTTAAAAAAAAAAAAAAAGAATGATTTTTTAATTATTTTTATTGATCCGCGGAAACTCTGGTTCATCTCGCGCATGCTCTGTACGATCTCCAAGAAACTCAGAGCGGCGCGGCTGGATCCACAGTGGAGGATGTATGCTTTGCTTTGTGCAGGCGGTCTGGAGCGGAGAATGGGGGATTTCGGGGTAAAACTCCTCTTGGACGCGATGGCGACTCTGCATCGAACAAGACGAACTCAAAGAAGAGATGCTAGCGGTAAATATATGTTCGATTACTGCCTGCTAAGCTAAAAGCAGCCTAGCCTAAGCTACGGCTAATAGCGGCTAATAGTAGCCTTGCAAGAACAAGCTTTATTAAAGTGCATTTTTTTTGTGATTTACAGGTAGCAGTACGCCGTCTTAACAACTCGGAGACTAATAAGGCTCGGGCACAGCGCGTTGCATTCTGGGTACGCCGCCATATTAGTAGCTAGTTGCTACGGTAAACAAAGACCTAAAACAGCATAGAGACAGAGCAGAAAGACGAGTAAACAGCTATGTTAAAAGCGAAGAAAGGATGCGGAATATACCGAGACACACTGCAGAGGGAAGCCAGGGACCGTTATCTGCAAAAGATGGGCTTCATAAACGGACTTGATCCCTACGAAGTAGAAAGCAAGGAGTGGTGTGTTGGGGAAGAATTTCTACCGCCGTTTGCGAGGGAGGACGTATTTTCGTATCTAGTGTGTGGCGTCAGTGCCTACACACATGAAGAGTTTCGCTGCTACAAGTCGCTAGAGGCTTACAAACAGCTGACAGATGGAAAAGTTCATGACATGGAAGTTATCAAGCCGAATGAGAACACAGTCATCAGAGCCAAGGTTAGCTACCGTCTCAACATGGTGTGGTGTTTGTTGTGGTGATAAGACTAGGTGCTGGCACTAACGTAAAACATCAAAAATGTATCTAAATAAATCTTGTGCTGACTGTACGTGTCCAGGGATAATGTAGTTACATTCTGATGATATATGACTGTCCTAGCATGGTACTACCACGCAGGGGCGGAGATAGATGAATAAAAACAGTATGTTCTGTAACTTACCAGAATGAAAATGCCGGTGTAACCGGTCTCATCTGCCTGTGTCCTAACATTCCTCAATTATGACACCGATTAACTTGCTCTGCGTTGTGTTCTGATGAAGGAGGGACCCAGACCATAGGTATAGCCAGTTGCTCTTTAATACAGTTATCCAGCCGTTTCTGCACAGACAGAAACAAAACGCTCAGTAACATGCAGCTTCAACACATACACAGGTCAGCATCCCCTCCTCTTAGGCAGCCTAGCGCCAACTGCAGCAGAGCAATGCAAAACAATTCAATCAAAAATAATCTTTACTACCAAGAAAAATAATAAAACATTAAACATGGAAAAAAGTAACAATTCTTACAGAAAACAATAAATCTGTTATAATAATTAATTAAATCCAACATATATTATTAATGCAACCAGCTTAAACAATGATGCTAAGAACTAGATGTACATACCTGCACAGACAGAAACAAAACGCTCAGTAACATGCAGCTTCAACACATACACAGGTCAGCATCCCCTGTTTGAGAAGAGCACATGGGGAAACCCCGTAGCTGTAGCAGGAAAATACTTGCTCTGACCAATAAATACAGACACATATTGAGAAACAAATATGTCATCTGAGTGTTTTTCAGTAAAGGCAACGTTTAACAACTGCATGTAATTACATTTACATGTTTTCATAGAACATTTTTATAAAACTACAAGCAGTAAAAGTTTCCTACCTCCTCTTAGGCAGCCTAGCGCCAACTGAGCATGAAGCACCGCTGACGTCGTTACAGAGCGCTTTCTTAAAGCAACAGTACAAGTATTCATGTAAAAATTAACAAATTACAGATAACTTTTCTAATGTGAATAAAACAAAAGCTATTTCGTATTAATCAGGCTTTGGTGAAATTTCAAACACTTTATAAACAGAAAATAACAGCAAATGTTGAACAATTGTTACATTCACCCCCCGTGAAATTCACCAAAATCCTGATTTCAGCCTAAAGAGAAGTATAAACAAAAGGATCAGTCTACACCGGGCACATCCTGGCACAAATGAAAAGGCAGACCTAGTCTGCTCATGCAACATAGAAGTCACCCTCAACAGAAGGTTCGGGAAAGAAAGAGGTTGATCAAGTCTCTAAAAGTCCCTAGCTCAATGCTACGCCTGTTACGTAACAGTATCTGGCCCAAGTAAAACTCCCGCCGTGTTAACTTTCATGAAATCAAAAATGGAAAATTAAACACCCTAAAAGTATAGGTTACATGGAATACATATGTCACTAAAACAAAATCTATGCTTAACTCAAAGGGATTAGCTAACATGTAAGATTTTCTAACTCTTCAAGAAAGGCCCCTGAACCATAGATTCTATTAATCTGTTAACTGATTTTACCAACAGCCCAGCACGGGTTCTAAATGGTCCATTGCTCCCGAAAGTAGCTTGCCGATTGTCTGGAAAAGCAGTTCCAGAACATGTCACATCCATGCCAGTTGGAGAATCGACACCTTCATTAAGTGATGCCGCCGGAGCTGGCAAGGTCAAACTGCCATGTTCATCACTGTCAGACTGCGACTGAGTCTGTAGCTCAGGGACACCCGACAGCACCGGTGTGGTGGAACAAGACACGTCAGTCACATCCACGTCCAATAGTGAGTCACCAGGGAACGAGAGACTCCCGTCCCCACTGTTGACGGTGCTGTACCCTAACCCATCACTGTTGACTGAGAAATCCGTTGTTCCCTCATTATCTGACCTGAGGATTGGTAAGAAACTCACATCCAGCAAAAGATTTCGGTGTACAACCTTTGTTTGTCCCTCACCATTCCGAATCTTATACACATGGATATCTGGATGCACTTCGACAACGGTGTACATGCTGTCCTCCCACCTGTCAGCCAGTTTACGCTTCCCTCGCTCTCCCTTATTTGCTACAAGAACTCTGTCACCAACTGACAAATGAGTGCCCTTTGTGCGCTTGTTGTACTGACTGGACTGGTGTTGTTGTTCAGTAAGGGAATGTTTCTGAGCAATTTCCACCGCATTCCTCAAAGAGGAAAAGAGAGTCTTGACATATGAATCGTAATCAGCAAAAGCAGGGTCATTCAGGACAGGCTTAAACAGAACGTCCACCGGCAGTCTTGGAATCCGCCCGAACATCAGGTAAAACGGTGCGTACCCAGTCGTCTCATGAACAGTTGCGTTGTAAACAAATGTAAGTGTCTGGATTTGTTCTGGCCACCTTTGCTTCTCTTTAAGAGGAAGGGTACGAAGCATCGAACCCAAGGTGCGATTAAATCGCTCTGTCACACCATTTCCCATAGGATGGTAAGCCGTGGTATGGGATTTAGCAACGCCTGCCAACTGGAGAAGTTCTGCAATCAGTTTGCTTTCAAAATTTGTGCCCTGGTCAGAATGTATACGTTCTGGGAACCCATAAACACAAAAGACATGATCCCAGAGCTTTCTAGCAACCTGCTTCGCTGTCTGGTTAGCACAGGGGAAAGCATGCGCCAGTTTGGTGAAATGGTCAGTAACCACCAAAACATCCACTGACCGTTGCTTGCCATCCTCAGCAGACCAAAAATCTAGGCAGACTAACTCCATTGGTGCAGAGCTCTGGATACTTTCCAAGGGTGCACGAGCAGCTGGTTCTGGTGTCTTTCCCAGTACACATCTCTGACAACATTTGACATATCTACGCACATCTTTTTCCATGTCTGGCCAATAGAAACTCTGCCTAGCAAGAGACAAAGTGCGGTCTTGTCCTTGGTGCCCTGCCAGATCATGGATGCCAGATAATGCTTTGTCTCGTAAACACTGGGGAAGCACAAACTGGAACCTCTTCTGCTTGGTCACAGGGTTCTTCGTCACTCGATACATTACACCATCCCGAATTTCCAGCTTATCCCATTGATTCAGCATTCTGACAACCTTTATGTCTGAACATCGCCTCTCACGCTTAGATGGTCTCGTCCTGGTGGCGACAAAGGGTAAAACCTTAGAGATGACTGCATCCTGCTCTTGACTGGACTGCAGTTCCTGAATAGAGAGAACTGGAAATTCACCTTGCCCACATTGCATGTGTTGAGTTTGTTGTGTCAACTGCAACGCCCTCGATTCTGCTCCTGAAATCCAGTCACAGTGGGACTGACACAGGGCTTGGATCTCAGCTGAGTCATAAACAACCTTCAGTGATGGATAATCCCTTGATTTATCATGTTCTGGCTGACAGCTGAACTTGAAGGCGCTCTGCACACGATCTTCATCAACCCGGTCAGCTTCTTGTGTAAGAGACAGATATGACTCTTCCAACAACCTGTGACTGATTGGTGTTGCAAAGGGGTCACGACTGAGAGCATCTGCAACCACATTTTTTCTCCCAGCCAGGTGTTTAAGGTCAAAGGAATAAGAAGCAAGCTTTGACACCCAGCGGATTTCGCATGCATCAAGCTTTGGTTTTGTCAGGAGATAAGTCAGGGGGTTATTATCCGTCCAGATGGTAAAGTGACGCCCCTTCAGCCAATGACTAAACTTTTCACAGACGCTCCACTTAAGAGCCATGAACTCTAATCTGTGAGCTGGATACTTCCGCTGTGATGCACTCAGAGTCTTGCTCGCAAATGCAACAGGTCGCGCTTTGGTTTGTCCTCTGGGAACTTGTGATAGCACTGCTCCAAGACCATCCAAAGATGCATCAACGGATAAGATAAATGGTTCATCAAAATCTGGGTGAGCAAGCATGACACATTCCAACAACATGGTTTTTAACTTATGGAAAGCCTGCTCACATCCCTCAGTCCAGTCATTAGGTATGAGTTTACGATAAACACCTTGTAGTTTCCTGTCCTTCGCCATGCGTCCTCTCCTTTTCTGTCCCGCTGTAAGTGCAAACAGGGGTTTAGCAATGGAGGAACAGTTTGGGATAAAATGCTGATAGTAGAACACCATACCTAGGAAAGACTTTATCCTTTTTATTGATGGTGTACGCCCATCATCTTCCATGAGGTCAGAAGGAGTCATTTTGGAGATCACCTCCACCTTGTCTGGGTCTACAGACACGCCATTGCCATCAATGACATGTCCCAAAAAACGCACCCTTCTTCTCATCAGATGGCACTTTTTGGGAGCCAGCTTAAGATTGTTCTCCCTCAGCCTCTGGAAAACCACTTGAAGTCTCAATAGGGCCTCATCCTCTGATGGAGCAAATACAAGCAAGTCATCGAGGTAACACAACAATTTTGTGAAGTTCATGTCCCCAAAAATTCCAACCATCATCCGCATGAATGAGGCTGGGCTGTTGCAAAGCCCCTGTGGCATGCAATTGTATTCATACAGTCCAAGGGGAGTCGTAAAGGCTGTGTATTTTTTGTCATGTTCATGCATTGGAATGTTGAAAAACCCTGAAGTAAGGTCCATTGTGCTAAATATGCAATTCCCCCCAAGTGCAGCCAAACAGTCAGACTGGTGAGGCAAGGGATGGGCATCTTTAACCGTGCGAGCATTCAGCCACCTGAAGTCATTGCAGATACGAAGCCCCCCATCTTTCTTCCATACCATCACCAGAGGGGAGGCATAGTCACTTGAGGACTTCCTAATGATTCCCTTTTCCTCCATCTCAGTCAGAGCCAGTCTCAATTTTTCATAATGTGCAGGAGGAACTCTGCGGTACGGTAACCGGAAGGGTCTGTCGTCTGTCAGCCGTATGCGGTGGGTGTAACCATGCACTCTGCCGCAGTCCAGGGAATCCTTAGAAAAAATGTCACGATACTCCATCAGCAACTTTATGAGTTGGGACTTGCAACTTTCACTAACCTCGCAAAGGTCCAAGTCAATAGCCCCCAAACCCATATCACACAGACTTTCCAAAGAAACATTGTTACTGTTTGTAGCCGACAGCTGTCGTAGCTGTTGCTGAGAATACTTCTGCTGATCCTCTACAGCCATGTGCAGACCCTGGAAAACATCAAAGTCCTCAACTGCTAAACATGGAGAGACATCAGCTAACTTGCTGTTCTTTTTCAACATCAATGGCTTGTCAGAAGGGTTCACTACTGTCAAAGGCACCCATCTATCACCCCACAATGGTGTGATGAGCCGACCCACTAGAGCACCCCGTGGGGCAGCTCTTGAGCTGGTAGGTTCGACAAGGACAGTGCTCCCGGGGGACATGGGAACTTTGACAGGAAGCTTACCCCAGATTAAGTGCTCATGTCTGGGTAAGAGGGTGACTGCCTGGGTTAACTTGACAGTGCCAATTTTGTCTGGAACTTCTTCACCCCTCCAGTGTTCAACATTTGTAAACATTGACAAAAACTGCCCGATTTCAGGGTCAGAGTCATTTTTCAATGCATTTCCCCTGTATTTCTCATCCTGTTTCAAAACATGCATGATGTGTTTAATAACATTCGAGCCCAAAATCAGATCATCATGCTGACCAGGCACAACCAACGTGGGTACACTACAAGAGATGCCAAATACTTCCATCTCCAGCTGAAAAAATCCATCAGGCTTAGTTTGCAGTCCACCACACCCCACAAGAATAATGCTTTCTTGAGGGTGCTGCTTTTCTGGCAAGATCCCAGCAGAACTCAGTTTTTCCACCGCTTGGTCACTGATACTGCATGCCATGGAGCCAGAGTCCAGCATGCCTTTGAGCTGCACGCTGTGGTTAATGAGGACAGGGGAATAAAACAGTTCACTGAAAGCTTGAAGCTTCTGTGCTGCTTGAATGACCACTCTTGAACCCTTTGGTGCCTTGGCACAGGTATCCTCAAAAAGGTCTGCCAAATCACAGATGTTGGAGAGAGATTCATTTTCACAACCCACACCGCCTCTCCCCAGGCATGGGTTTCCTAGTTTAACTGTTGGTCTGCATCCGCAGACCTGTTGTCAGACCGAAGCACATGTGCAGATTGCTGAGGGCAATTTCGCTTCCAGTGACCAGGGGAAAGACACCTTAAACAGAGGTTTTCACGCTTACAGTGACTCAAGGTTGAATGGTCATGAGAACCACAAGCCCTGCAAGCCCTCGGTAAGGGCTGAGAAGCTGCACCCCTGGCCGCTTGATTTCGAGGGTCATTGCCATGTTGTAGCACTAACCTGTCCAATAAGCTCACCAAGCTCCGCAAACAGTCATTATCTACCCCAGTAGTCAGTGGTGTAGCTGGTGTAGGTATCCCACACTGAGCAGTCCGTCCTGAAGTTTCTGAAACAGAAGGACTGTCAGTCTTATGTGCATGACAATGAGAATATCCTTTAACCACTCTCGGAATTTCTTTGGGCTGCTGAGTGTGCATAGTACTCTGAGATTTCCTTTCCATCATGTGTTCATCTAACCTTTCCTGAATCTCGCTTGCTGTCCACTTCTCTGCAGACTTAAACTTGAAGACACTCGCAAGAGCTCTGTCAGGACAATGTTTAATAAACATCATGCTCACTTCATGCTGTGGGTCATCAATCCCTCGACCCTGCCTCTTTAAGCATTCATCTGCCACATCCATCATTCTATTTAATCTTATCCAGTATTCCATTGCATCCTCCCTAGGCATTGGCAGCGTATTATAGAAATCAGCTAGAGGCATGTTGGAGTAAGTGAGTTCACTAAAGTGCTGTTTCAAGATGTCAAAGACTAAGTTAGGACATGTGACATGATTGATAGATTTGTTGTTGCGGAGTGTAATTCTCACAACATCACCTGCCTTGCCCATCAGCCTCGCCATAATCTCTTGGGATTGTTCATGGACAGGAACAGCCCTCCTTTTTAAGTACATAGACATGAGACTCTCCCATTCATGTACTGTGAACTTATCTGAGCCATCACCTCGAAATATTGGGGGCTCCTTAGCATCAGAGTGCATAACAAGACTAACATTGGGAGAAGACACCTGATACGTCAGGTCAGAAGCCCCCGCACCTTGTGCATGCTCACCAGATGAGAGTTGAGCTCTAATAGAGTCACCCAGTTTTTCAGCTAGCTGGGTAATAAGCGAACCCAAATGTGGTGTAACCTGCCCAGCCTGACCCGGCATATGTTGGTCTGAAAAACGAGTCGAAGCTAATTGTGGGGTGTTCAAAATTGTAGATCCACGCCCTGGTGCTCTTGATTCTAATGATTTGTAAAGTAACCTTCTCCCCAAACCAAATTCGTATGGACGAGCTGCAAGATCGCTATCCTCCCCATCAAAAATGTCAGAATCAGGCATAACCCCAAAATGCACACACACTGTTATGAGAGATTAATTCAAATAAAGTAAATAAGAAGTAACACATAAACAAAATTGCTAAATAGCAGTGGATGTCTAAACACACTGAAAAAAAAAAAAAAAAAAACACCAAAAAGGAAATTCTGATATAATGAAGTGTGCAGTCACTTTCTGGTATTGGATAATAAACAGACCAAAAGGTGCAGTTTCTCCTTCTTAAGAGAGTAGGGAAAATGTCCAAAATGAGTTTGTCAAAAACACAAGAAAAAAACAATCAAAAATGAGATTTACTTGTAGCTTCCCACGGCGGACGAGATGACGTCGTTCCTCAACAGATCCAAAAAAAAAAGTCACGGCACCATTGTAACCGGTCTCATCTGCCTGTGTCCTAACACTCCTCAATTATGACGCCGATTAACTTGCTTATGCTCTGCGTTGTGTTCTGATGAAGGAGGGACCCAGACCATAGGTATAGCCAGTTGCTCTTTAATACAGTTATCCAGCCGGATTCTGCACAGACAGAAACAAAACGCTCAGTAACATGCAGCTTCAACACATACACAGGTCAGCATCCCCTCCTCTTAGGCAGCCTAGCGCCAACTGCAGCAGAGCAATGCAAAACAATTCAATCAAAAATAATCTTTACTACCAAGAAAAATAATAAAACATTAAACATGGAAAAAAGTAACAATTCTTACAGAAAACAATAAATCTGTTATAATAATTAATTAAATCCAACATATATTATTAATGCAACCAGCTTAAACAATGATGCTAAGAACTAGATGTACATACCTGCACAGACAGAAACAAAACGCTCAGTAACATGCAGCTTCAACACATACACAGGTCAGCATCCCCTGTTTGAGAAGAGCACATGGGGAAACCCCGTAGCTGTAGCAGGAAAATACTTGCTCTGACCAATAAATACAGACACATATTGAGAAACAAATATGTCATCTGAGTGTTTTTCAGTAAAGGCAACGTTTAACAACTGCATGTAATTACATTTACATGTTTTCATAGAACATTTTTATAAAACTACAAGCAGTAAAAGTTTCCTACCTCCTCTTAGGCAGCCTAGCGCCAACTGAGCATGAAGCACCGCTGACGTCGTTACAGAGCGCTTTCTTAAAGCAACAGTACAAGTATTCATGTAAAAATTAACAAATTACAGATAACTTTTCTAATGTGAATAAAACAAAAGCTATTTCGTATTAATCAGGCTTTGGTGAAATTTCAAACATTTTATAAACAGAAAATAACAGCAAATGTTGAACAATTGTTACACCGGGAACACACTCTCATGGACACTGGGATTGAGTTGAAAGTTATATTTGGCCGTCTTACAGCAGCGACCCATGCTAGCCGGCGACTCTTTGTTATGGAGGACATTTGTTTTCCATTGAGACGCCTCCAGGTTGGAAAACGGTAAAAAGACAATCCATTTGGGATTTTTTTCCCCGTCCAGTCACAGCTTGCGCTACTACACCCTACGACACAGCAACGGGCGACCATAACGACAGCAGAGGTAAAATGAAACGGCAAAAAACTAAGCAAACTACTAGCAGAAGAAAGCTAGTCCTTACAGGCGCGAAGTCAAAGTGTAAACAGTGGGCTGACCAGCTATCAATATGGCTGCCGCGCAACGTGTGACGTCATGTGCCCGAGCCTTATTGCAGGCGCTATGAACCGGAGCATGGGTAAGATTTAAAGAATATGCTTTCATTCTGCGGTAAAAGGCAATGGATACGGATGGATACTGATCATAGCTTTACATTTTGTTTTCACAGACCTCCTATTTGCTCGGAACCATACAGCAAGTCCAGATTTGCGCGATGTTGATAAAGACGACATTGTGTGTAAGTGACTTGTTTTAATGTTTTCTCCTTCCTTGTTACTGTGACTTGCGATTTTTTATTTATACCACTCTCATTTAATTGTTTTCCAGCTGCCTGTAAGACGTATTTTCAGACGGTACGCAGGAGCTTCAGATATAAGCAGCCAGCCAACACACTGCGTGCGGAGGCTATCTGCTCGGAGTCGGGCCAGAAGAAAGAGGGTAAGACTTTATTTGGTGACTATTTTTCAGGTGCATTAATAGATGTGTTGTGTCCATACGCAGTGCGCTGATTCATTGTTTTTTTTTCAGCTGCTGAAAGCGAGGCAGAGTGTGCTAGCAGATGAGGAAGTGGAACTCTGGAAGTCCGCCTTCCTCTGCGGTGTCTCTGGATGGATTGTACGGTCGCCGCCATTTCGTAGGCCGGATCTCACTGAACTCTGTGTTAAGCTGCAGTCCCGGTTAGAAGCGATGCCTTAGTACAGGGCCACGCACAGTAGGCGTCTGCACATCGGACCTGCCTCGGAGGGAATGCTGCCAGTTGCCTCCAACCCCGAGGAAGCAAACGGACCGTTCACGGACTTTTAATTTTTAGAAACGCATGTGTTTGGATACGTGTTGTATATAGTTGTGTGTGTGTGTGTGTGTGTGTTTTAATAAAGCTCTTTCTTTGCATAAACAGCTTCCTGGCAAATGTTCATTTCCTGTATAAATTCATTCATGTCCTTGATGGTAGCATAATAATTGTGTAGTAGTGTAGGATAACATAAATACACACCATATGAATGAATAAATATATGAATGAATATATATATATATATATATATATATATATATATATATGAATAAATATATATATGTAAATTTATATGTAAATATATATATATGCCAACCAATCACGAGCGACTTTACTTGTTTAAAAAGAAGTGGTTCCGTCCAATACTCAGTAAGAAAATTAAAGCCTGGCGTGGCCACGTGTGGTTTTGCTGCCAATCACGAGCGATTTCATTTTTTTGAGAATAGTGGTTTCAGCCAATACTGAGTAGGTTATTCAAGCCAGACCTGGCCAGCCGCGCGGGTTTGCTGCATTCATATGCTAATTAGGGCCATTAGTACAGCTGATCGCTCTCCACATACGTCATGGTACGTTTCCGACAATTTGTGGCACGACAAACGCGGACAAGCACGGGTTGCAAATTGTCGGAAACTGACGAAAATCAGGCAGATCTGCGGGAGTTTACGGGGGTTTACGGGGACGAAAATCTCACTTTTCATGCAGTGAACAGAGAAACGCGATCAAGGCTCACCTTCTTATTCTAGGCGTGCAACTGCACGCTTTCATTTTTGTTGACCACAACTATGCATCGCTTAACATACCTCACGCACTCCGTTGCTCTTATTGGTTGTAGGTCTATCCAATTGAGTGCAGAGGCATTTTTTTTTCCTGGTTCAATCAAAACACGCCCCATAATCACAGCTCTATGGAGCAGTATCAGACTCATATTCTGACTAGAATTGAGTAGGACTACGTCAGGCTAGCGGGCCGAGGGCTCCTGCAATTGCAAGTGCGGAATTTCCCCCACAGACCACCAGGGCGGCCGAGAATACCTTTGTTCAACCTGAAATGACTCATTTAATCATCCAAAACGTTTTGGAACACATTCATTAACTGAAAAATGTTGCATAGTATGCCTTTAATGTAACATTTACTTTTAGTGGTTATGCGTCGTTTACCGTTTTTCACTACAAAGCATCACTATTAATATAAATAATATAACTGCGGATGTCTGGGGGACAGTGATTCGCCTACATGTTATGAATGCTGGCATACAATAATGAATAAATTAAGAACAATTTAGTTTGTGCCTTCGAGTCTTTGCCCATAGGAAGACGTTACTTGGATATAACCTAACGGAATATCTTCAGAACCGCTCCAAATGACACAAAACTCATATGGGTGAGTAGAACATGATGTAATAATGTAAAATCAAGGGCCCAATGTAAAAAAAAAAAAAGCGGCATTTCCCTTTAAGGTCACAAAAGAGGGGCTGGCCTAATATGAGATTTATGTAGCTCTGTATGTATACGGTTTCACATTCTGTTCTATTTAATCTATATATTATTTAGATTTTTTTGAGACAGGTCAACACATAATGTATACTTTTGTAGTATAGGGAAATATATGCAAGTATTTAAAATATACAGGTATTTACAAATAAAAACATGCGTTTGACATACATTTATGTTTAGCTGCCTTCAACCCTAAATACAAATACATGCAAGTGTAATGTTTGTGTTAAGGGTTCTAACCCACATGCAGAACACTCAAGAGGCTGGGAAAAAGTTCAAAAGGTTTATTGAACAACACAAAGTAAATAAACACAGATTCTGGGTTTTATCGGGTCCGGGATCTGGTAACGACTGGTTTCACTGCAGAGAGGGACAGATTGGTTAGCAG